GCCCTGATTCAGAATGGTTCGAACTTCATTTGATACGAAACTCGGTGGCAAGGTTGGTTTACCGTTTGGACGGGGCGTGTTGCGGTAATATGCTCTCTCAAATCAGAGCTCGCCGGAAATACCTCCACGGGACGAAATGATCTTTCAATCTATATCGAACACTGAATCACGATGGAGATTTGGTAGTAGATCACGCGCGTGGTAAAAACATGAAGTTATAGACGTAACGTAATGGAGGGCGACGTGAGACAGGGCACGTCATCGTCAGTGTAGCCCGATCAGCAGGAGAGACAGCATGGCTTATCTTATCAGGGGAGAGTCGGTAAGTGTTATTTCTAGCAGACATGAGATCAGTTGCTTCCACACAGTTTACTTGTTACGTGTAACATTTGTTACATAGGCAAATGTATGACTTAATTAAAACGTGTTCAACGAAATTTGACTGTCATTTCCGTTTACCAGATGAAAAATTGTAAATGAAATATTTTGTCTAACATGAAGCGATATTGCAAGTTTAAGACAGCAGAGGAAGAAGGTATAATAAGTTATATAGTTCATATGATTACCAGAGTATATTACGGAAATCTGTAGATTCAAGGTGGAACCAGTAACTATTGATACTGATGGTCTTGAGAAAAGGATTCGATAATGACAGTGTGTCTTTCTATGATGTGTTGACGGTGTGAACGTTGTACCTGATGACTAACTAGAAGAATGAATGTTTTCTGTTGAATGAATGAATTAAAGGAGGATAGATGGTGCGTAAAATATTGCATTATTATTTTAATTTAGACGTAATTTAGACCACTGAAAAGGATAATATACAGTGCAAATTCACATGAGTTCAACAAACGTTTATAACGTAATCGGTTTTGGAGTTGATTAAGGACATGCACAAGACCTTTCTAGAGAGATGACAAAGAGCAATTTTAGCATTGCAGGTTCACATTTCTTTAACATGGCTGCGGTTCTCATTCGATATAGATTGTTCTTTAAATACGTCTTTGATGTTGTGCTTAGATGTATTATAGTGTTCACAATAATGACACACCCTGACTCGGCAATGTTAGTGTCCTACAGTCGAGGTAATTTGTCTCTTTAAACATGTGATGCTGTTTCACCGTATGGCACAGTGCATCGTATTTCACTATGTTTCACATCATGTTTCCCTGTCTTTGCTTCTAATGACCATGGAAGGGTTTGATGGACGAGTCCGTTCTGTTCAAGAACGACGTCCTTCTCAAAATCTGATGAGAATTGTCAGTTGTGACACTTTTACTGAAAGGTACTCATTTGAAACACCAGGAATGCAAAGTAGATAAGCAAAGGCGTTGTCTCTCTTGGCAGTGAAGTGTGCGATGTTGTGGTACCGTTCACACAATATTGACGGGAACCATACAACTGATCATTGTATGTGAGACTTAATTGGTGCCATATAGCTTGGCACCTGCTTACCACCCAGGGCACTAATTCCTTGTAAAGCAACTAAAATTGTTTTGATATCCTATTTATGTTCCATTGCTGTCGTGTTCCGAATACGTTACAAAATGCACATTTGTTTGTGTTTTAAAATGGTAATATGTTTCAAACGTTTTGTTAGAAATTTCCATAAAGCTTGTGTCTTTTATTAATCATAAACTTCCGGGCAAAAGAGACTAAGTACCGAAGTTTAATATGGTCGTAAATGAAATCTACAAAATATGTTTATTCGATGGTATTGTAATGTGTAATGTGAAGCAGGTATTGAGTTGGTTCACAGATGCCAGGCATTCAGTCAAGTAACGTTTTGATAACCTTCGTAATGTTTCGGTCAAATCCAATGTTCAAGTGTATCTTTCTTTCGTCGGGTCGTGTGTGATATTGCGATCTTGACGGGCCAGACAAGGGGGGTGATGTGTTGATTTAGTGGCTAAGAATGATTCAGTTTCTAAAATCTATACGTCGAACATGGTATCGTATGACCGAAGTATGACTGACAAAGGATCATAAACCGTACAACAATACACAGATAAGGCTAGGGTCAAGTTCCAAGTAACCGTCAACAAAGTAGGTACCTCGGCGTTGTTAGCGTTCACATTACCATATATGTTAATCTTGCTTTCCTCTATTTTAACTCAATTTTAATGTATTGTTGGAAATTGTCTCAAGGTGGAATCACATGGTACCACTAGCTGGTACAACAGTTTGTGTTCGATAAGATTTCTCCGTTTGGATGCTCTGTCATTTTAAAGCAGTGGTAAATTTTACATGCTCGCCGACTCCCAAAGGTAAAAGACAGTTTCATTGCAGTTAAGGTTTTCATATTGTACTCATCACCATTGATATAGCCTGCTCAACCATACCAGCCGCTGGCATAGTGACGCCGTGTTATTCAAAAAGTGCCTTTAGCTATTGTATGGTAGATTACCATATATGCAAACCCTGCAAGCACGAAACCAATCGCTAGTTCCTCGAACCTTACAGTTGACTCAGCTGAATCGTGCCTTGATGATGTAGCTGCAACGTTGATGACCGTTACAGACTGATTACTGTCTAATCTAGTTGAAAAGTTAATTGCCAGCTGGACAGTCTGGACACAAGGGATGCTGTGGAAGAAGAGGCTACCAGTAGGATATTCTCCACGACATGTTCCGAATCCACGGGGAAGTCGAATTTCACAGGTCCGAATAATGGTGTTTCAGGAACTGTCGAGACATTAGCATAAATGTTTGTGTTGACGCGAAATATGCTTACATTTCTCGTTGCGCTTTCTGATATTGCGGTTTTGTCGAAAATATATGTGTGTTGTAAAGGTGTTCCAGTGAAATGTCATGTGTCTTGTACTAGTATAATCCGTCCGTTGTCTTAGTATAACTACTGAGTTGTCTTAGCATTGTTTGTGTCTTGTCAAAACATTATTTGTTTCTTGTCAAAACATTATTTGTTTCTTATCTTAGCATTGTTTGTTTGTTGTCTTCGCATTGTTTGTGTCTTGTCTTCGAATAATCAGTGTTCTGTCTTAGCATTTGTTGTGTCTCGGCTTCGAGTAATCATTGTTTTGTCTTAGCATTCTCTGGGACTTGTCTTTGAATAATCAGTATTTGGATACATTACCAGGGTAGCGAATGATCAATATCTCTCTCTTGTTTAAGCATGATATGTCTCTTGCTGACAATGTCGTGTTATAACTTTATCTCAGGCTTGTGTTAGTACAGTCGGTATTTCCGCATGCACCAAAGAAAAGCGACAAAACCGTTTCCTAGGAAATTCATTGATATCGACAATATCGTGGACACGTGTTTATGAGTCACTGTGAAATAGTGATAATACCAGGTAATCACGAAATGTTGAGCCTATCCTGCCTCATTCTACTGTTGGGCGCTATCAGTCCTGTGTGACGGGAGACGAGCCAACCCAGAGTGACATATATTCAGAATATCGGTTTATTCACTAAAGCAGAAAGTAAAGATAAGACTTCACAAGGCAATGAACCATCGTTAACTTGAATCTAAACCTCGTTCCCACTTAGACCTCCATAGACTTGTGTCAGAGCATAGGAGTTGTGATCGTGTCAGTGCTTTGTTGAAAAGTCCAATGATTTGCACTTTGTTCGTCAGGAGTGAGTGAGTTGGGTTTTACGCCGCTTTTAGCAATATTCCAGCAATATCACGGCGGGGGACACCAGAAATGGGCTTCACACATTACACCCATGTGGAGAATCGAACCCGGGCCTTCTGCGTGACGAGCGAACGCTTTAACCACTAGGCTACCCCACCGCCCCGTGTTCGTCAGGACGGAAGGCCGATATTATATTATGGTTAGGATTTGGCCGGGCCAGTGAGGAACTAATCTCAGACCATATGTCGACTTAGCTGAACTGCTGATAATGAATAAATCAGATATTTCAATGTTACTTGTGGTGGCCAAACGTAAAGCAACATCAGTAGTTTACTTTACAATTGAAAACATTGATGTTACACAAAGTGGCATGGCCATATGGACAAAGCAGGTATTTGGTGAGTTTATGGAATCTGAAAATGCAAGCACAAAGAGATAGTTCTGAAGACTGTTGGTAGTTTTATGTAACAAACGCTCTTTATGCAAATTGTGAGAGTGCGGTGCTACCGGTAAAGCAGAATAAACCAGAACCATAGTTTTGTTTGTTTGTGGTTTAATACCACACTCAACCATGTTTCTTCCAGTTATATGGCGGCGGCCTGTAAATAATCGAGTCTGAACCAGACAATCCAGTGATCAACAACATGAACATCAATCTGCGCAACTGGGATATATTTTCAGCAATCCATTCTTATGATCTTCACCTCTAGTTGACCTTGTACGAGCAGATAATCTCGCGTTGACGTTTTTAATACTTTAAGTCAACAAACGCCATTATCAGGAAACAATCGTAGTTCCGTGATTAACGTAAGCTTACCATCGTCTTAGCTCTACGGTCGCTTTGTGAAACGTAGCCCCGAGGTAAATATTCTAATGATTGGTAAAACACTAGGTATGTACAGCTACTATGAAGTATATTAACGCAGATATGATACTAGTACTTAATTAGCATCGGGATATCACGGATGGATAGTCCTCAATGCTATAGTGATTAATCACTTCATGCAAGCATGAATAATCACAAAACGTGTTTAATAAACTATAAAACCCTTTTCATCATCATAAGAAAACTCTGTAAAAACAGAGTTTATTGTAAATTCATGCCTATATCATGAGCATAAGTTTCAGAATCACTATCATGTGATGACACCAGGTGTTCCTGAAAAGATGCATGTATCTTGCCCCAACTTTATAACATGTTACGGAGTAAAAACAATACCTAATGCCTGTCTAAGACGAAACGTTCTACTTTACCCTAATAGAGATCAGACCGTCAACAAGTGGAACTGCTATGCGAAATCCTTAGCACTGTTCTATGCGACACTACAGCAGCCTAGTGAATTTCCCAATACAACCTCATCGATCTTGTTCCCCTTCAATACACCTCTCTCTCTCACTTTCAGCGCGACTCGCCAGAGGATGAGGAAGAAGTCACCCTCCCTTCCAGGTAGGACCAGCTTAACGCCAAACATTCTTTATGTCGTGTAATTCGTACTTCAGCCAGATGTATCACACCCAGTGGCTGAGTGCATGTGCACTATGAAGCGCTATTGCGTGTTCTGTGGACTGGGAAAGTCATGGTTTACATGTGTTTTTAATGTCCCTCTTGTACATTGTTTGTGTAAGAGGCCGGTCCTGTATTGCCGAAAGCGACGCGGCTGGGATCGCTTGGTGTAAGGGTTTGTTTGTCGAAAACATTAAATTCTTTTTTCCTTTTTTTTGCAATAACCTTGTTAGAATTAGAAATATAAGCTTAATATTTATTGTCGCTATATGTCGATGTGAGAAACGTGTCAGAACACGGCAAATCTTTGAAATAATAAATTTAAGCACCCCGGAATAGTTACATGAGGTCACGTTTGTATTTTTAAAATTACAAGTTCTCTGCGTTAACTTAACCAAAGTATATATAGTTCTATAGTCAGTCCGTTATATACTAGTATATAGTCAGGCGTCGCCATCCTAGACCCCGTTAATACAAATAATACTGATTCCATTTGGGACGGATTGACGGGGTTTCATTGTATATATATATATATAGAGAGAGAGAGAGAGAGAGGCAGAGAGAGAGTTTCAGAGAGACAGAGACAGACACACAGACAGACAGACAGACAGACACATACATGTCTGTCAAATTATAAAGTTTTGTCATATTGTGCTAATTTGTTTACACTGCATAGCAAACTGCTGTAAATGTACGCTTCTGTCCTGAGAGAGACGGACAGTTTTCATCAAGTAGTGTGTGTTCTAATTTCTCGACCATAAGTGATTTATAAAGCGTTTAAATCACAATAGGTAAATAATACAGATTAGGTCACAGTTGGCTGGTTGTTGTCACGAAGGTCTTACCTTTCAGTGTGCCAATGGACGATCATGTTACAAATTAACTCAAACTTTGTATACGGGTTGCATAATAAATTATGTATCCGATTGTAATTCAACAATTAATGGATGGTACCTTCATCTGCAACCGATCTCTGTCAATTATCACCTGGCATATGTCTTGCTGACATACTAACCTTGTCATGCTGTCAGTTCGGTCTGATTGTGCAGACCAGTGACGGTGGGAATGGTCGGTGCGAGATCTTACATAGTGTGGGCAACTGAAGGATACCAGTATCTTTATCAGTGCCCATCGCTTGGGAAGGGACGTCGGGGGTTGCAGCCGAGGGCGAAACCATCACTGGACATTATACAGTATAATTACGGCAATATACACAGCCATGAATTCACGAGTATCGTGTACGGTCAATTATGCAATGATCTGAGACAGTGACCCGAATGTATTCTGATTATCGTGGACACAGGGGACAGTCAGTCAGAGATTAGGAAATGACCATCATCTTACCAGCTGCACGGTGGGTCGTATGTTCTTCCTTGTGTTTGCATGTTAATGTATTCAAAATGAAATATTGAAGCGAAAATTGGAATATTGACTTTTTCGGAACTGATTATTGTTGTCCAAATGACTCGTAAACAATATATGCGCTTCACATTCTTTTGACAAATGGCGTAACATGTTTGTGTGGAGCTGGTAGGTTGTTGGATTTAGTTCACAAATTACATGTGCAAAAATATTTGTTAATAAAATTGTTGTGTGAATTCAGTATTTTAACAGCTGTTGTGTAGGATGATTTTTGAGAAGTATTTTAAATGTGGAATAGATAGTAGTGATCGGGACATCTGTTTATCTTTCTGTGCATTGCTTGTTTCAACAACATAATGTGTACATACGTGCATGTTTTTTGGTGTGATTTATTTGGATTTGGCATTATCCTCTAAATTTGATTTATCTATCTTCAACTTTATCATGAAATTAGAGAAATTTTAGTTTACTTTCATTGCACTTAACCTGACTCAAAAGGTTTCGAATTTCATTTTAGAAGTAGAAATGGCCAGATAAATATCACCCGTAAAAGCATACTAAATTCCTCAATTTTGAAAAGGTAAGCTCTCTATGTTCAAGTTGAGTGGGTTTCTAAAGTGTATTGAAAGTAGGCTTTTGTGACTTCTCCGTTGCATTAAGCTGGCACAAAGACCGTATCTTGTCGGATGGAAAGGTTTTTGTCTGGTCGCTTCCTGCACATTATCCGTATTCAGACATAACTGGGCCACGCAGAGACGTAACCATACGGCAGTGTCTATCAAGGCGGGCGACTGTCTTTATCGAATAGGTTTTCAAGAACGGCGTGTCAGATGAACATGAAAATTACATGACTCAGTTTATTCCCATGTAGGACTGACAATGTTGGTGAATAAAGAATAGCGCTTAAATACAAACACGTTGTTCGGAGTGCTGTGGTTGTACAGCTCCCAGGGGTAAACATATGTGAAAGTGGGTCAATAGCGATCTTCAGTTTCAGGGATGTCCCGAGCGGTTGACACGAGGAAAACACGTTTAAATAAACAAGAAATTAGCAGTAAACAATGTTATCGTGAAACGTGTATTTCGCTGCCGATGGGGCTCGGTGATAGCTTTCTAACTGTAGTTAAACGAGGCAATTCAAAAGAATATTTTACAAGATTCTGTTGAGATGTGTCTGTGATGTAAGAATGATAATGATCTGACGTAGTTGTGACGTTGCTCTGATGTAGAAATATGTCCCTGTAATATGGCTGTGGTGTTTCTTTGAAGTAGTTTTGATGTAGATGAAGATGTCTAACTGCTAGGAGGATGCTGAGCGATAATACTGTTTTAAATAATGTTGCTGTTAAATAGTTGTGATGGTTCAGTGATGTTGTTATCATGTGTTGTTTTGTATTTGAGTGAGTGAGTGAGTTTGGTTTTACGCCGCTTTCAGCAATATTCCAGCAATATCACGGCGGGGGACACCAGAAATGGGCTTAACACATTGTACCCATGTGGGGAATCGAACCCGTTTCTTCGGCGTGACGAGCGAACGCCTTAACCACTAAGATAACCCACCGTCCCGTTTTGTATTTGATGTGCTGTTGTGTTGATGTTACTGTGCTGTTGTTTTGTTGTTGCAGTAATGTTGTTTTGGTGTTGCTGTGATGTTGTTTTGGTGTTGCTGTGATGTTGTGTTGGTGTTGCTGTGATGGTTTAGTGTTTTATTGATGTTGCAGTGATGTTGTTGTGTTGTTGCAGTTACTATAATAAATTATGTACAAAATTTGCATAGCGTCCTGTATGATTTAGGAACTAAAACACTCAAAGGCGCTTAACTCTAAGTTTATGCTGTTTTGTTGTTTGTGTGGTGTTATTTTGATGTCGTTGTGATGGTTTGGTGTTGTTTTGATGATGCAGGGATGATGTTTTGTTTTGCAGTATTCTTGTTTCGTTTTTGCTGTGATGTTGTTTTGGTTTTGTTGCGATGTTGTTTTGGTGTTGATATGATGTTTTGATGTAGCTGTTATGTTGATTTGCATTTGCTGTAATGATGTTTTGTTGTTGTTTTGATGTTGCTTTAGTGTTTTTTGACATAGCTGTGGTTGAGCTGTAATTTACTGCAGACAATTCTGTCACATAATGAATGGAAAAACCATTTACATCAAAATTAAATAAATCGTTTCTTGGATGTAGTCAGTAAGAGATATGACTATCTTTATTGCAAACTGACACTGCCGCAGTGCATGCTTTATTAACGAGTGAATGAGTTTAGTTTTACGCCGCACTTTTAGATTCCAGTTCTATGGCGGATAAACAACATGAGCAACGATCTACGCAACTGGGATACGATGGTAGTCAACTACGTCTACTTGCACAAAGCGATCTTAGCGTTACAACTGTCGTAACTCCCATACTTTAACGTAGATTTACGACTGCCACAGTCTTACGATCGGTATATGAAAGAGAAGCCCATTTCTGCTGGAATATTGCTAAAGGCGGCGTTAACTTAAACTCACTCACTCACTCACTATATAAAACGGATACCCAGGAGCTTACATCAATACGGACTCCTTGGGTGATCAATCTTTAAAGTAACAAATCTACGGCAGACGCGAGTGTCCTATTTTGATCAGGACGTTTGGACTATTTGCAATTCAATATCTGATTATTACGTAGTTGTTCTATGTGTGTATTAATGGTGATACGCAGCATTCATTCCTGCTCAGACCCCATGACAAGTGGCGACCGACCTTGCTGAAGGAGGGAAGCACCATGACAATGTCAAGGTCACATGACGAACCGGACCAATCAGATATCCCCTCTAATTCCACGTCAGCTGACGGCATTCCAGACTCCCCGAAGGACGACAAGAAGGTGACACAAGCAGTGACTGCCAGCTTTTAACTTGTTGTAGTATTTTGAGCTGGTCTGGATATTTTAGATCTAAGATAATCTCAGGTTTTCAAAAGAATGTTGCTGTTTATGTTTTTGCTTTGTATCTTTGCGAAAGCAAACCACGAGCGAACATCACATATAAGTTATATTAGAAGTCTGTGAGTAATTCCAAATAATCTTTTGTACAACTTTATATCTCGAAGGCTTTTTAGTCGATGAAGTGACAGCCTTGTGTAGTTAAAATCCTCATACTCCACAAAGATGTAACTTCCTGCCCAGAAAGCAGAATTTTAAGGTGGGTGGTTCGATCCCAAGTGGTTTATTGGTACCTCTGTGCTCGTGTCTACGGCGATAAAACAATGACTGATCAACTCGGAGTCGGTATACAGATCGTGGGGTCGATATTATACTGTAGCTCTTGTACTTCCACTATATAAAATCAAAGTTAGCCAGGGCAAGTACAAGCAACCATGTACGCTCGCACGCACGCATGCATGCACACACGCGTGTACGTACGCACACAGACACGCGTAACTTAAACGAGACATTTAAGCTCCATTTCACCTAATCACTTACGATGTTTACTCGATGTTTAGAATTCATAACCTGAATACATGATTAGCCTCTAAACAAGCACATGGCTTAACTTGCCTGTCCAGACATCAAATATAAAATACATATAACACACTGACGTCAACCCTAATAATAAAACTATAATAAAATGTTAAAATTTATTTTAATAACTTCAACTCGAAGTTAAACTGCATTTCATCTCCATGCAGACGAAACCATCAACGATGATAGCTTCACGAAAGACATACATGAAATACAATAATCCTAACATAACACGTTGATCAGTGGATAGCAATGTCTGCGATAGTTATGAAACAACTTGCGGCGTAGACAGTGTTTCAGGGAAAGTACCAGAATTTATAGCAAACGGATTTGTTTATCACGAATTTTAGGAACATTTGGCAGTCCAGACTCTTGAATCTGTCTCAGCGAACAGGTGTTATTGACCAGTTGGCGACATTGCCGTGTTCGCCAAGCCATTTTATACAAATATACAATTATTGCTATCAAAAACAGGGCTAATCTGTGGCGTGTTATTATCAGACTTAGACAGAGGCGTTTGCAGAATAATAAAGTAAGGAGTAATGTAAGTGATAATGTGTTCGAAGTTCAGAACAGCAGTATTGATCATTTGAAGATTCAGTATGTAACATCAAAAATATCCAGGCAGCTTGGTCGGTTTAAGGGAAGATGCTACCTTTCGATCGTCGCGATTTGTTTTGGAAATATATATATATATATTATTGTTGTATTTTATTTTTGCAACTGAAGACTAGAAAGACGTACCTACAGTAAAATTTGTTAATCGTCCTGTTGTTTCTTTGGTAAAAAGAGCTTTTTGTATCTGACAGTTGATTTTGATTCTCAATAATCCTTATCATATTAGACGTTTTAATTATATCTGCAGCAGGTCACAAACTCGACCCCAGTAGACCCCTCCCCAGAGGATCTTGTTCTGGACCCGAACGGGAAATGGGCGTATTACTGGATGGTAAGTATGCTGGTTCTTTATACTACACCGATGAGGGGCGTATTCAGAGGCGATCTGGCTATTTGCCTGCGGTCTGTAAATAATCCAGTATGTACCAGACAATCCAGTGATCGATATTTTGAGCAAGGATGACCATCCGATTAATTAATTCACTTCTTCCACGAAATACCCGCGTGGATTCAGAGTCAGTGCCTGTCATCCATCATGTCCCTCATCAAGTGAATGTTTTGTTCTATTCCAATGTCAACTTGTTTTCAGTTTTGATGGAATGATGTATTTGATTAGGTTTGGCGTGTCTTTGGGTTGTGGTCTTTCAGTATTTCGGCTTCTTAGATAAAATAATTTAGTCGAATGTTGATGCGCTATGATGTTCGGGTGTGGCAATGAAACGTGTCGGTGCGTGTGTGATTGTCATAGACCTTTCAAGTAAGGATAATGTTGACTAATCGCTCATTCACTATGGTAAAAATCATGTATTTAGTGATTAAATACAATATTCAGCAGTATCATTTACATTATCGTAACATTATTGTGGATAACGAACATTATTGTGGAGGGGCAGTGGGGTAGTCTAGTGGTTAAAGCGTTGGCTCGTCACGCCGAAGACCCAGGTTCGAATCCCCACAAGGGTACAATGTGTGAAGCCCATTTCTGGTGTTCCCCGCCGTGATGTTGCTGGAATATTGCTAAAAGCGGCGTAAAACCAAACTCAGTCAGTCATTGTGGATGGTTGGTAAATCTTGGCAAATGTTTATGTGAAGAGTAACCTGCCAAGATTTTCCAACTATCCGCAATAATGTTACGATAATGTAAATACCTTCAGTTACAATAAAGATACTATAATGTAAATAACTTCAATTCTCTCAATATATTTGCCACCCAGAGCAACAGTATCTGTTGTTAAGTACAACTTTTAACTCACTTTCCCAAACACTGTTGTTGACTACATCACGCACATGCGGCAGTATGCAAGATGCTCTCTTATGAAACTAACGATGTCGTATGTTGCCAGGGAGTCGTTGCGTCCGCCGTCATGTACAACTGTGCTGTCATCATCCTGAGAGTCGCCTTCCGGGAGCTCCGGGAACACGTGAGTATATTAGCGCCACCTACGTCGCATACGGCTTTGTAATTATTATGACGTCAGTGTTGTCAGTGACGTATGTCTACATTACATGAAACTGTAATCTTACTAACCAATTAATTAACAAGGAAGATAGTTCTATGGATATACAACGTTTTATTACAATGTATGCGTTGTTTCGCTGTAGGTGCTAACACCGTTATCAAGCAAGTGACAATGGTGTTAGCATGTCTTCCGAGTGATAACGATGTTACATCTACACCGAAACGTCGCGAATATTGTAATGAAGAAGTTGTATATCCATATCCCTTGTTTATCGCACCAAATACAAAATACCACCTTCAATTAATGTCATCTTCAGTTACTATACCAGTGGCGGATCCAGGGTGTGTGTGTGTGTGTGTGTGAGTGTCCAACGTTATGGCCCTCACGTAGCTCTACAACTATCGTAAGTCAATAGTTACAGTATAGGAGGTACGAATGCTACGAGAAAAGTTACGAGATCTTAGGCTTACGAGAGCTTTGTGAAACGGGTCCTGAAACTATTGACTTACGATAGTCGTAGCACTATGAGAGCTTTGTGAAACGGGGCTCTGGTTAAGCATTAGACTTTCGTCGAACACGCCCCCACCCACCCACCCCCCACACACACTGTAGTCACAGCTATGGATACATGGACATATTGTCGATGGTCCTGGAACCACTTTGTTTCATACTTGTATTTAAGTTGTAAATTATCATGTAAACTTGTACCTCTAATGCCACAGAACGTGGCCGGAGTGTAAATAAAGTTCAGTTCAGTTCACGACACAATGACGCTATACGATTACGATCTGTGCAAACAAATTTCCTAATTTACTACTGAGTCATACGTCATATGTCATTAAACGCCCAATATATTATAGTCAGTGAGTTTTCTAAACATGTAAAGCGGAGTCTTTTTTGTCTAGTAGACAGCTCATATATCTATTCCTATGACTTGCAGTCAGTGTACCAGCGCATCTTTTCAACACTTGACAACATCGGGGACGTCATTTACCTCGTCGACATCGGAGTTCAAGCCAGGACGGCCTTCCTGCAGGATGGCTGCTTGGTGAGATTAGCGACAGTATCAGTGGATGGATTAGCTCTCTTTGCATACATCTGAACAACATCCACTGTCCACCATCTGTAGGAAGGTCAATGTACCTCCACATCAGGTCCGAGGGACCCTGTGGTCCAAACTGTCGCTGTTATTCGAACAGTGTTAACGTTGTGTCCCTTGACCAAGCAGAATCTGCTGGTCGATGTTTCCAGTCCGATATTCGCTTCGATTGTTATTAAGGGCTCATTCAAGCTGTCTTTTAGGTTTTCCAGCCATACAAAACTGGCCCACTGATTTTACCGAAATACTGTTCAAAGCAGGAATAAAGATAACTCACTCACAGACTCCGAAAGGGAAATTCATATATTTCATTCAGCTTCATTATATGCTTATACAATATGAATATATAACGCCAACGCCAAAACAGTAATCAGTGTTGACAATATCAGGAACGGATTTCATTGGCCGTAAAAGACCAAGTATATGAATAGGTCACTCAACGGTAATGACACCAGGTGTTCTGGGAAAATGGGTAAGCATGTCCTCCTTCTCTACCTGTAGCAACCGCCACTCACAATAGGCCAGATCTCACTTTTTTGCAACTAGTCTAGAACACGTGCTAGTCACATGCTATAAATACAATGATGGTTCCTATTCCAAAAGTGAGCGAGTGAATATTACTTAACGCCGCAACTGCAATTTTGCAGCTATTCGGGACGAGCCCCCCTGTTAAATGTAACGTGGACAGTAGTCGTGGTTAGAAATGCTTGAGTAAGATTATTTGCCGAGGGAGATTAGTACCACAGAGATAAGAGACACCGTCAATGACGCCATTTGTTTGGCGCAACCATGGTGGACAACGCCGTCGGCAAAATGTCAGAGAGTATTCTGGTCACGGCGTGCAGTAGAAGCGTGTAATTGGACGGAGATGATTTAAGAATCTTGTTAATGGTTCACTTCACCATTTGCTCTCTCAACAACAGAAGTTGGATAATAATAATTGCCGAGTAATGACAGCTTTGGGCCAACATCGTCATATTGCTGTCAGCTATGCTAGTGTCTGATAGAGTAGATAATATTCAAATGGCACCCATGCGTTTTGACATGTTATCAATCATTGTTTCAAGTTTGTTCCATTGATCACGGAAATCAACTTAATCAATTTGGAACCTTCTGGTAGTTTTTGCTCGATTAATGGGACCAGCTACGAAAAACGGCAATTCCTCATAGAGAGACAAAACCTTAATGTTATCTCGTGCTTGCGGAGTAAATATTCATGGCTGAGAATATCCTCTATGGACTAAATGACAGGGTCACACAATTAGTACAACTCGGTTATCATGGCAACCAGTGTTTTCCAGCAGAAAATGACCTCAGTGGTCTTCTAAACTTCAATCGAACGTTTTAAAATCATGAATAAACAATGCATGAGCTTCGTTGCTTTTTAGAGTTCATGAATGCCCCACTGCAAATCCATAGCACCTGGCTGTTGTACATGCCGTCCTTAAACAAAGTAATTCACATTGATTATATACTAGTATGAACCAAGGTATTTATATAATAACGACAACACACTTTATCAAACAGGCTCTGCTTTGGAAACACGTTACCTGTACGAGCATGTGTTTATATACGGAAATTTGTGGAAATTTAAGCTTTTCCTGCCACACCAGTGACATCCATCAAAAACACATGAAGAGGCAAATCAATTGTCCACCTCACAAAATCCATGGAAACGCAGAGTACTTGTGTGCACAGGGAACTGCATGATTGTAAATACATTTTGTCAATGATATAGTCTATTTTTAAAAATTAAAATGCATTACCAATAACCTTCTGAAAGCATCACTTTTCAGCACGAATCGATTGAGGCTCTTTAAAATCTTAACATAAATTTAGGGGCGGTGGGGTAGGCTAGTAGTGAAAGCGTCCGCTCATCACGCTGAAGACCCGGGTTCGATTCCCCACATGGACACAATGTGTGAAGCCCATTTCTGGTGTTACCCGCCGTGATATTGCTGGAATATTGCTATAAGCGGCGTAAAACCGTACTCACTCACTCACTCACAGACATGTAGACACCGTTCTGTAGGTATGTATACTGCATAATTGCAGAACGACATTTTCAAAGCAGTAATATAGAGAGAGGGAGTAACTTGATTTCAAAGCAGCTTTGAACAGCCGTTATTTACACCATAGCCTACTGGTTAATGTGGGAGGATTCCCGGGGGTACAACATGCTAAACAGTACTCTGGTGTCCCCAAACTGATGTTGCTGGAATATTGCAAAATACAGCGTAAACCCCATCTCCTACACTGTGGCAGGAAAGACCAATCTACCATTTACCATACTGTTGAAAGCTACGACCTGTCCCTATTGCGTGCGGCATGGCCCTTGTTGCGTGTTTCATAGAGGATTCATTACGATAAAACCATATTACACATACACTCATTTGGTCGAACTGACATGAGTGAGTGAGTTAATATTTAACGTCACATCGGCAATATCTCAGCCATATCGTGACGAGAACTGACATGAATGTACTTTGACTGTCGGTACCGTTGGGCCGAATGTATTAAAGTATTGGTTGAGCTCCAGTATTAAATATCAACATAACGGACTTTATAGGTTCGGGACCCAGAACAGCTGTTTCGTCACTATCGTAGGAAAACAAGGTTCCTGTTGGATGTGTCTTCAATACTTCCACTCACCACAGCGTATGGGATGTTGACAGGTAAGGTCTGAATCAAAGAACACCCGCAACATGTATCTTTGAATAAAGTCTTTTAGAAAGTGGCAAAGAATTACATGTATTCTATCTGGGGAAACATTTTCTTAGTAAAGCAAAAATTCAAATCTTGTGTCAGTACCACAGTGGTGGCTGAGTGGGTTAGATCGCTGGTGTGCTGGCGATTAAGCGCCTCGCTTGAGAGTGTAGGTTCGAATCCCTGATTGGGCTCAATCACATTGTACTAGGATTTGTACTTTCTTAAGAAAGTGTAGACCCAGATATAATATATGAACATTTACGTAAATTTGAAAGTATCGTTATACCAGACTTTCTTAAGGGCAGGTATCAGAAAGTATGTGTTTTTGTTGTTCTCTCTTTAAATGCATGATTTGTTTGTTAAGTAGTAAGAAACTTAACCGCATGAGTTTTAAAGTCGTACTAATGTCACCATTAATATTGATGTTATTTTGATGTCCACAATTCATTATGTAAATGATGAACATACATCCGATGTCCTTTAGTAGGGACCTTAATAAATCTAATGATTTACCTCTGTTAAATGTTCAGCACGATTGCATGATAAGTACTATTCAAGCCCAAGTCAGACAATCAATATCAGTAATTTCCATTTTCAAATTCTCATGCATACTGACAGGTTTAGTAAGGGGTCGGTAGTTTAACTTACCGCTTAGAGTAAAGAGCGAAGATCCAGGTTCGAATCCCAGTATGGGTACAAAATGTGAAGTCCATTCTGATGGCACTGTCGGTGTATGGAACTATGTGGCGTATAGTCACTCACTCACTCGAGAATGATTTACACGCCAATGCTTAAATTGCTGAGAATGTCTGACTTGAACTTAGAATAGGTGGGATCATATGGACAAGGGAGCTTCACCTAGTTTCATTGACACGAGACTTCCGTACATTGAACAGCAGTCAATCACTAATTGAATCTGCATTAAACGTTGCATTAATTGAACCAAGTTCACCTGAAGTGGTTAATCGTTTAAAATAAATATACCATTTGTACGCGTGACGTTTGTTCAAAGCATATAGAAGTCACGTAGAAGTCACGTGATGACATATCCTTCTTTTTGCAGGTGTTCTTCAGCTTCTCCCCTTTAGCATCATTTTTCACGATGCCAGTGAGTTCTCTCCCTTTCATATATTTTTTTTTCATTTCTATTTCTCTGTGATAAGACAGAGCCTAGTTTACATAGCGTCCTTATCTAACTGGGTTTGGTTTATATATTCACCCTGTTCTAACAGATGTTTGTATTGTACTAAAGGTCTTCTTTCTAACTGTCGCTTTTATCCGGAACAGACACATCTTCACTTTCTTCATTTTGTTTTGGTAAATTGCAAATGGGGATATGGTGGGAGGCGACCGTGACAGGGATTTGTAATTGTGTGAAGTGTTTACTATGGCGATCGCTACACGCCTATCCAGATGTTGGCATCCAAAACCAAGTACGTAAAGGTACTTGCGGAAAAGATAACTCGATAAGGTTTCTTTCAGTCAGCGCCTGACATATTTGTACTGGACTGGTAAAAACACATTCCATAAAATTTTATTTTGGTATTTAGAAGTGATACACATAATATATCAGCTTCTTGATGATGATAATTGTTACTATGATGTGTTGATCCAGCATAATCAACCTGTTCTGAATGGAACTGACCGGCGACTGATGCTTCAATTCAGCATCTCGTGGATGTGGAACTGGTGCATGTTGTTCGTGGCATCCAGTTTCAAATATTGACGTTGTCAGATATTAGCCACGTATCATCTGTCTTCGCGATTGGTTGACGAATTGTGTAGAAATGAAATTGCCTGTTGAAGGGCAACATGCGCACATGGACTTAACACACGTTACCATTCTTACTTAATTGTCGTTCTGTTTTAGCCTTCCACCTTTACCAGTGTAATGGTTTACACTAGGATCACACAACTGCTTTTGAAAAAACTTGATATGTAGTTAATGTATGATGTGAAAGAAAGAACTAGGCTACACGTTGCTTATTAGACAATGCTGCAAGTGATACTCACTAACTTGACGATATGTTAGGATTTACAGGACTATGTTTTAGTCCTTTATATTAATATGATACTTTGTTCACGTGTATCTTCCATAACAAAACCGTAAATAATGTCAATTTGAACTAAACATTGATAGAAATTATAGATTGGTAGATGAGTTAAATATTTGTAAAGAATTTGAAAGGTGATTTCGGAGAATGATGGGCTCAGGAAATTACTTTTCTCCAAACTACAAAAAGGAGGAGAATTGTTTTTTGCAAGGGGAAAAGACGGGGTAAACCCATCACATTACTCAAAGATGAAGCTTTTGATTAACCCCTTACATTGTTACGCTGTAGCTCACCTTGCCGCCCCTATCATGAGGATAGCTCGCCTCCTCAAGTACCACACACTGGCCAACTTCTTCCAAGCAACGGACAGGTAAACATCAGTTTCAGGACTCTATCATGCCAAACATTATTTCTGAGTTACAAACAAGATCGTTTTCTTTATGGTTGTTTCTTTGTGACATTTTTCTGTGGTTCTTTTTATCAAAATTGTTCATTTCGATTAGAAATTCTGTAAATTCCGTGGCATGTCTCAATCGAAAAAACATGGAATCGATATTGATGTGATTTGCCATGGGGAATTATTGTTTTTGTTACCGAGGATGGGTTTCAATTATTCCTCCAAAGAAACATTGTCCAGATCTCCAAGAGACAGCTTGGATTAGTGCAATCTGTAAACGCCTGTATCTCGGTGCGTGGAGTCTGGGCATCATCAGGAAGTGGGGGATGAAGATCAACGTCAGTAACAAAACGTGACCAGCATCTTGATGAAGCTAAATACGGCTTCTGTTGTTTGTATCGAAGCACAGGCAAGGTGGCTATGTGCATTTTAAAATTCATTACCCGAAATGTCATGAGGAGACTGTAGGATCGGCGTTCAGCCTCTATCCGTGCCATGCTCCTGCATACGGGGATTGTAAAGTGTTCTGTGACAGTATTTCAGAAATGACTTTCTGGATTAATTTGAAACTACAAACTGTCGTGTGCTGCCTCCTGTAGTATCTACCATAATGAAAGGGTGTAATTGAGATGAAGACCTTTGGATTGAACATTTTGATGAATACGGAAATAATGTCGTAAATACAGCTCATCCGTCAATTTCGCGTTTCACGTGACCTGAAAATCCGATTCAGCTAAATCTGATATAGCAATACCAATGGAATGCATGGTTTAACACTATGACGACTCGGCACTATTGTAACGACATGTAACTAATGTAAGAAATGTGACCAAGATAGAGTCACGTAATGTGCTCTGGATCATGCATGATATTTATCTGAACCGGGTGTAGCTCAATCATTCGGCTATACCGAACTCCTTGTTCGAAACAAATGTCCACGAATCAGGGCTTCCCATGACACGGACCGATCCAAGCACGGATCCAGCTTGCTTCTGAATAAGGGATATACTTCAATAACGGCTTCCGAGACAGATGTACCGGAATCACGGATATACTTCAATAACGGCTTCCGAGACAAAGATGTACCGGAATCACGGATATACTTCAATAACGGCTTCCGAGACATAGATGTACCGGAATCACGGATATACTTCAATAACGGCTTCCGAGACAAAGATGTACCTGAATACCGGAATTACGAAGTCATACTTAAGCAATAACGACTTCATGGAGACAGATGTACCGAAGTCACGACTCCACAAACACTGGTGTACCCGAATACAGGCTTCCACAAACACGGCACTTAAATTATGGCTTCCAAAGAACGGATATGCTTCACAGAACAGATGTAGCCGAATCATCTGATTCATAACAAGCACGGATGTACTTGAATGACAGCTTCTCAAACACAGGCATTCCGGAATCACAAATGCATTGCTTCACAAAGTCGATGGAAACAAAATCGCGGCACATTAACCTCACAGATATAACAGCTAAACTAACGGAAACACAGTATAACGGAATAATGGTTAAACTGCATGCACGTACCGGAAATACTGACGTTCCAGAATCGCGGCTCAAGAAAGACAAAAGTCCCTAAACCACAGGTCTCATATTAATCACCGTTCAACAAACAGGATGAAACTGGAGCACGGCTAAACAAACACGGAAATACCTGAATAAAAGATCGACGGACATGGCTGAAACTGGATCACGGCTGAACAAACACGGACATACCTGAATAAAAGATCGACGGACATGGCTGAAACTGAATCAAGGCTTAGCAAACACGGAAACATCTGAATCAAAGTTCGACTGACATGTCGCTCTTGAATTTACCTTGACTACACTGAGTTAATACAGAAGTTCCGGATGTGGTTGTCAGACTGGAGAAGTTTATACGTCAATATAGTTCTCTGAATATTGTCTGCGTTTGTGTTGTGCGTCGCCTGATGAAGCCATCATACCACTCGTCCATCATTAGCCATACTTCAATAGGTTTCCTGACACGGTGTCCTGTCAGAATGAACCTCAATGGAAAATTGATCTTATCGGCGTTTGATTTACCAAAATTGTGTCGGTTTATCTGTCACTGTTAGAAGCATTAGAAGTATTACTTAACACAGCTCTTGCTGCAGAGTGAATCGTGATTATGTATATAGATTCCATACATTACCTTTGTGAACTGCAAGTTAGCTCGGCCATCGATCGGACAGCCAAGTACAGTTAAGCTTCATCTTGCCAGATGATCCTCGATCACACAATGGCCTTGTGTTAAACGGCCCTGTCTTTTGATGCTGCAAGAACAGAATTTAATCAAACTGCTGCATATTACACACTTACCATGACAAAGGACAACTGTGGAAGTGGTGAGCTATGGAGAAAATACGGTACTCAACCTTGAGATGGATAAGTTAATCCAAGTCTTTTCTGCTGTTAAACCCATTTGTCTCTGAACTCTACTTGTGAGTGAAATGCGCCACGATTGCTTCATTACCCCACACTGTACAAATGGCTTCTTGGGATCTGCTAATACATAGTACTCTCAAATAAGGACGTTCCCGAAACTGTTTCATGCTGATATTTGCCAACAGCTCACAGGACCTTCTTGCGGAGAACAGTAATCTTGTGTCGAGAATAATAAAAAAAACCATTCAATATAGGCACACGAACGCAAATACTTACGTAGATGATACAGACTCTTAGTCGTTTGTGACCCGTCAAGGTCCGGGTTAGAATGAATCTTCAGTAGCCCATGCTTGTCGTAAGAGGCGGTTAACGGGATCGGGTGATCAGGTTCGCTGGCTTGGTTAACACATGTCATCGGTTCCCAATTGCGCAGGTCGATGCTCATGCTGTTGATCACTGGATTGTCTGGTCCAGACTCGATTATTTACATACCGCCGCCATATAGCTTGAATATTGCTGAGTGCGGCGTCAACTAAACTCACTAACTCACTTAGTCGTTTGTTGTTGAATATTGTGGACAGGCTTTTGATATATTTGATATTGAGTACATCGAAACTGGAATCGGGTTGAAAGCTGCAATTAAGGTGTATTGTATTTTCTTGTAGTTAAACACCGCACCCAGCAGTATTATTGTTTACGATGTGATAGGTACATGATCGAGTCTTGGCCAAACATTACATTATTTCTACATGGGCAATTGGGATACGGTGACATGCAACAACCAAGCCAGCGACCCTGACCACCCGATCCCGTTAGTCGCCTCTTAAGACAAACATGGGTTGATAAAGACTAGTTCTAACCCGACTCTCCACGTTCAGCAGCTTTAAGAGCCACATCTACGTGTAAGGTTTTCTGCTCCGTCTAGTATGTGACATATCCCTTGTTTCAGCCACACTAGCAACCCCAATCTACTCCGGGCCTTCAAGCTCTCTGTCCACCTGTGGATGGTCATCCATTGGATTGGCTGTATCTACTACATGACGTCAGAGGTTAGTCTGTCCGTCTCACTCGCTCTCTCTTGACCAATTATCTATGTCGCTGATTGTCTCTCTCTCTAGTGTTTTATATGTCTTCATGTGTCAGTGTCTCGGTGTGTGGATATGTATTGAACTGTATTTCTTGGCCTGTTAGATGAATAGCTGCCGGTCAAACAATGTGTGCTGCACCATAAAGCAACGCAGTTTCTACGTAACACTGTAATACATAAAGCTTGTTAAGGCAGAGGGGATATATCGTGCTTAAGGTCAAACCGAAACCCCCAAGAATTGGGTTAGTATGTCAACATATACAGTCAAAGTCGAGACTAAGGGATCTGCGGAAGTACTTCGACTGACTGACTGCCTGAGTTTATTTTTCGCCGCTTTTAGCAATATTCCAGCAATATCACAGCGGGGGACACCAGAAATGGGCTTAACACATTGTGCCCATGTGGGGATTCGAACCCGGGTCTTCGGCGTGACGAGCCAACGCTTTAACCACTAGGCTACCCCACCGCCCCTGGAAGTACTTCGAGGTATACGAGGATCAACACAAACCAACGTGGTGACTTAAGTGAGCGAGTTCAGTTTTACGCCGCTTTTAGCAATATTCCAGCAATATCACGGCAGGAGACACCAGAAATTGACTTTTGACTGAAGTAATAGGCAGACACGCTTGTAAACACTTTGATACTACTGTACAACGGAGTTCGGCTGAAGTTCACTGATGGTTGTGATGCCGGAATACTACAGATGCTGATCCCTTACACTGCTGTAGGTATGGAGTGAGTGAGTGAGTTTAGTTTTACGCCGCACTCAGCAATATTCCAGCTATATGGCGGCGGTCTGTAAATAATCGAGTCTGGACCAGACAATCCAGTGATCAACAGCATGAGCATCGATCTGCGCAAGTGGGAACCGATGACATGTGTCAACCAAGTCAGCGAAACTGACCACCCGATCCCGTTAGTCGCCTCTTACGACAAGATAGTCGCCTTTTTATGGCAAGCACATGGGTTGCTGAAGACCTATTCTACCCCGGATCTTCACGGGTCGTTGGTATGGAGAAGTTGGTGAAGAGAACATAAACATTCAAAACGTCAACGTATGAATATCGATTATCTGCCGAAACAGATTTCACTGGACGTAAAAGTGAGGATGACGGTTATGTGATTGAATCGTCAAAACTCAGTGATGACACCAGGCTCGTGTGGCCCTGTAGTTTAAAGTGCTGAGACCTGCAATCAGCTGGCACGTTCCTACCACTAAAATCTGACACTCCGTGACACTGCAACACCGTTCAAATCGTTGTTAAGTCAAACACACTCACTCTTTATGTATATGCTGACTCAATCCACTTAATCCGCCGTCCACATACTGTCCACACTCTTAGAACAACCCCTTCTCATTTCCAGTAATGGACATCTACATGGGATCAATATACCACAAGTCAAAGAAACTAAAGTGTTCCCGTGTTACTGTCACTTTAGTTAATTAAAGTTAACTTCCCCTGGCGTCCCGAAGGAATCCTTAGTCGAGGGGACTGCGTTTGTAGATTCTACAAATAGGCGACCAGACATTGTTAGTATAACTAACAGATCAAGGGCGAGACGTTGTTTGTATGTGTGTGGCGTGGACTGGTATCAACACTGTGGTACATGGCCTGCACATGTTGCCACGAGGCAGTCTCAGGAAGTCTCAGTTAATACGGAATACATTGAAGGATTCTTTTATCAATATCATCTCAGCTACCGACTACCGTAACTCCGATAATTTTACACGAAACTGCGACAGTCATGTTGCTACTGCCACTTTGCGTTGATGGCACTATATAAGATTCCGGGTGTTGTTACGCATAAGAGATTCCGGGTGTTTTTATCCTTAAGATTCAAGGTGTTGTTATGCATAAAATTACGGGTGTTTTAAGCACTATTCCGGGTGTTTTTATCCTTAAGATTCAGGGTGTTGTTATGCGTATAATTACGGGTGTTTTAAGCACTATTCCGGGTGTTTTTATCCTTAAGATTCAGGGTGTTGTTATGCATAAAATTACGGATGTTTTAAACACTATTCCGGGTGTTTTTATCCTTAAGATTCAGGGTGTTGTTATGCATAAAATTACGGGTGTTTTAAGCACTATTCCGGGTGTTTTACCCTTAAGATGCCTGCTGTTGTTACCCATAAGATTCCGGGTGTTGTTAGGCATAAGCTCCCGGGTGTTGTAACATTGAGATTTCTTTGTTGTCACAGATAAAAGTGGCACCATTTAATAAACCCCGATGCATCCGTATGTTCAATGGGCAAACCACTGGAAATATTAATAAATAATTATAAACGTATTGCTTCACCTACTGCCTATTGTTTCAGCATGATTGTTTAAGCCTGGTTGAGAGTTGTACAAGTGTATGTTGTACTTATACATTATATTATATAATTTGAAACTGTAGATAATATATCCTTGAGACTGTCTTTATGTAGGTTTTAATAGTTTTATGTGAATCTCTAGTGAACATCTGCTTTGCTCAAACAAAAGATCATTCATATGGGGATATTCATGACGATTTCTACAATATCAGTTCTTGAATTTAACAGTTTCCTTGGGCCAAAAGGGTTCTTATCCAACCTTGTCCTCTACATGACATTTATTTGATACTATAAATATTCATTTAGTGAATCGATACATACCTACTTAATCTTCAAAATTAGTTAGCAGAATATAATATCTCAATTTAGACACGAAATACCACGGGAACAGCATACAATATGTTCTTAAACGTATACAATATGTTCTTAAACGTATACAATATGTATATGATGTATCTTGTGACGTATCCTTAAACTATATTATATATCCTTGAAACGACATGACACATGTTTGAAGAAATATTTTTTATCCTTAAAACAGTGTGGTGTATCTGTTTTTACATGTTGTTGTCAAATTATATATTTATGATATTTATAACATAGGTAGTCAGACTTATTTCTTCTTCCAGTATGAAGGCCTCGGCAGCAACGACTGGGTGTACCCCGACGGCGAGGAGTACAGCGCCCTCATGCGGTTAGTATCTTTACTATAGCCATCGAATTGTCTGGACCATTTTAAAGCTTAGTTTTATATTCTACTACCGATGTTTCATGTAGCAGCCGGAACATGGTATAATTGTCATCGTCCGACTACCATTGAGATCACAGACTGAATCTGCATTTAAGGGCCGCGTTGCCCAATGCTATCATGTCTTTGGAACCGACGCTTTGGTATTATCTGCTAATAGTCGTGGAATCGGGTTCCTGTGGGATCAAGATTCTACTATGTTTCTTTTACGATCATGGATATACAGATTGTCGAATTAACAGCTGTAATAAAAGTGTCGTGTTATTGCGCTGGTAAAGCTCCTGTTTGCAAGAACGCGTCTCTCTGGTACAACATATCATGTGTACTGATCATTGTGTTTTGATGTGTTGCTTTCGCAGTGACGGTGTATATATCGGTTGCATGGAAGAGCTTCTCGGTTTTTATATAACATAACAAAAACACATTTTTAATCCAAATATTTACTTAATCAAAACATTCATTAAGGCATGACGGACACAGTTTCACAGTCAGGTAAATAACTAAACAGCAATGAATGCAGGGAAATATTTTCAGAAGGTGAAACATGAGGCTAATAAATAAACCGAAAATTGAGTCCCTGTGCAATGCGTCGTTTCAAGAAAAACACCTATAAGAGAACACCACACCCTTACCGAAGTAGTCTAGCCTACGGTTAAGAGTGGAAAAGAACGAACGAGTTATCCATGCAGAATAGCTGTCCCTCGCATCATCATCATGAATTAAGATATCCCCAGTTCGATACAATGCTGTAGTCTCGACATTTCCGAGAAATGTAATTAAATATTTCCAGAGCATGTTTTTTATAACTCATCTCATCTAATCTGATCAAAAGCCATAGTACCAAAGTATTGATATTCACAACCCGTGGAGGTCAATGTTCTAGTTGTATTTACGACAGTTACGTTAAAGGTTAAAGATGGCCCAGTTGCTATGGAGGTAGGGAGGGAAAAGTACGACAGAATAATAATGTCAAATTTGAAAGTAAAAGAAACTCTTGAAATATAGACCCGACACTTATGAGATATGGCTGACAGGTTGACCTTTTCTTTCTTACAACTAGGGAATCTTGGAACTTCTGGCCACACAAACTACGTAAGACTTGTCTAAAATCAGAAGAGAAAACTGTGTTTTGAGAAATCTAACTACGAATAAGTCTTTCAAGCTTATGTTTTTTTGGTTTTGCGTCATATGTCACCAGACCTATGGAAATTGGTTTGATTCATGCTAATGGACATCTCGACTGATTCGTATCCAGGGCCTAGATTTTCAAAGCTCTCTTAGCGCTAAGATTGTCGTAAGTGCCATACATTAGCTTACGACTATATTAGCGCTAAGATTGTCGTAAGTGCCATACATTAGCTTACGACTATATTAGCGCTAAGATTGTCGTAAGTGCCATACATTAGCTTACGACTATATTAGCGCTAAGATTGTCGTAAGTGCCATACATTAGCTTACGACTATATTAGCGCTAAGACCGCCTCGGAAATCTTGGCCAAGTTATTGCAGTCAGTTTTTAACAGGCAACGGTGTTAGGTAACCTTCGTAGCAAATGAGCTCATTTCCTGTATCATATAAATCCCGAAGTAGAAAAGAGCATGTATGAAACAATGTCCTTTGTTTACATACACCACAGTTCTATACAGTCCTCAAGGTTATGTTCTCTGTTTCAAGGAAGTACATCCGGTGTACCTACTGGTCAACCATGACACTGACAACCATTGGGGAGAGACCCTCACCGATCACAGACCTGGTATGTTTGTTTACTCTGTATTATAACTGTCTGATATTTACGACCAGCATGCATCTCGATATATAATGGATGTCGTCCGAATAACAACGCTTTACGCAATGAAACCCGTTTATCCGGACTGTACCGTTCTCAGTGAAATCGTCCGGAAGAATAAACGACCGGATGAACGAATAATGCACACGTAACATCAGTGATTCCGACGGAATGGGACACTGTGATGGAGATCTGTGGAGGATATAATAATACTTGTCTCACTCTGAAGTGAACTTCCTTAATATCAAGAGTGTGGTTTTCCTATCAATTTTACCCGAATTTGGAACCACTTTGCAGGGAAAGAAACCTTTCAGTTTTTCCCACTAGACCACAGGACAAGTGAGTGGACAATAATTAGTGGTCCTGTCTGTACTTCACTGGTCCAAAATAACATTCTAGATTTACGTAACTATCAATACAAAATTCACTGGCTACCAGGACCACTGCAAACTGGTTATTTAGTGGTCCTGGTGAATTTTTACTACCCAGGGACCACAGGACCAGCGTAAATTTCGCACACTGCTTTGCATTAACTCACGGCCACGTAGATAGATCTCCGTTATAACTAATGTACTACCAACACTTGTTAGGACGAATTTCTTTTGAACCCGATCGCAACCATACTCTCGGAATGTATACATAATTATATTTCACTTCATCAGTGATAATGATATCATACATATAGTATGGCTCAAACAGTAGTATCTCATTAAACGTCCTTCAGTAACAACTGTAACGGTCTGTCTTTGCTCAACGCTAACAACTGAATATGTTAGAATACCTGGTGTAACTAGGGTGTGCGAGTGATAGAATGAGTTGAGTTTTACGCCGCACCCAGCAATATTCCAGCTATATGGTGGCGGTCTGTAAATAATCGACTCTGGACAAGAGAATCCAATGATCAACAGCATGAGCATCGATCACCCGATCCCGTTAGTCGTCTCTTACGACAACCATGGGTTACTGACTCGGTTCTAACTCGGATCTTCACGTATTCTAGGGTGATGTACAGCAGGAGGTAGACGCTAGGATAGCTTGGAGCAATAATTAAGTAGGTAACTTGCGTTTTGTATATGTTCAGGTCGTCTATGACGTGCATCCCACTTGAAAAGGAGAGCCGACAGGAAATTAATTTTTGAATATGGAATACTCTCCGTCCTTGTGACGCATTTGTTGGCACTGTTTGAAGTTGCCCAATTCCATCCAGCTGTGTTACTATGGGAATCAGACCCAGAATGTCTGCCAAAGTAAATGGTTTCTCTCAAGTGAAAGACAACCTTTTTCTCGGACAGCTTCTGAGAATGTATTTCCTGGCGTGCGGTGCCGAAGGGATCAAACGTCCCTATGTACCGGAAATAACATGAAGAATTTGTGAAATCTTGACACGGACCCCGAGGGGATTCGCTTAAAGTACATTGGAACCTGTCACAGGAGCATACTTGTACAAGCTTTGACAGTGAGGGATACTTCCGGTTATCACGCCTCAGACAAGAACCAACATGGACGTACTTGTTGCCGAAGTCAGACATATTGAACTGAAGAATGAATGGACAGCGGCAGCTTCCTTTCTATAATGCTAAGCCAAAGACAGAGAAAATTATAAAAGAGCGAATGTATTTTATTATTTTCTCTTAGAAATTCTTTCGTCTAATGTATAACATTCACGTTATTGAGCACGAATACGTTACAGTACATTGGAATTTATAAAAATTGAAACGAGAACATGTGATTTTTGTCCAATCCCTTCGCGAAATTCTGTGGAATTATGATACAGTACTGTTTTCTTCAAAGGTACTTTTAGTTTTCGTATTAGCTTTGGATACTGAGCAAGAGGCGATTTTAAGTGACAAATAATCAGGTAAGTGCATCCCCAAGACCCTGTATGAAATTGGTTCTCAAGTTTCCATACCTCTCATGTTTTCTTTTCACTTCCATCTCTAACCTCCGATTGTCTCTAAGTGTAACTTGGCCCTCTGAAATTCGAGTTAGACTGAGGAGACGTGTTTGTCTTAGTTAGTTAGGATACTAGCAGTGACCTCTCAACTTTGTCTCTTGCCAGGAGTATGTCTTCACTGGTATGACGTTCCTCATAGGCGTTTTCGTTTTCGCCGCCGTTGTTGGGAACGTCGGTGATGTCATCAGCAACATCCACGCTGCGAGACAGGACTTCCAGGCTCGGTATGTGGGGCAGCAATATCTTGTGTTTCTTTTGACAAAAAACATGTTCTAATAAATCCCACAAACAATCATGTTTTTCGTAGAAAGTGTATGAAAGTTTAGTTTAACGTACCGGTGTCTTCCTCTTTTCCTTCCCGTGAACAGAATGGACCAGATAAAGTTCTACATGCAGCACCGTCACGTTCCCGAGCATCTACAGGACCGGGTGAAGAAATGGGCAGACTATACGTGGAACAGGTAGGTCCGGGGCTGATGCTTATAAAGTCTAATTAACTTTGTGATATTCCGTGGGATATGGGTCACATATTCCGTTTAATACTGAAAGATTCTAAACAGGATTCAAAGCTTCGGACACAAATTTCGGGAAGGTATGATCGGAGGTATTTTAATAGAAACTGGACAGAGGTTGTTTTGGAGATACGTATTATACGTGTTTACCAGTTCGAATTACACTCAAAGATTACCTAATTATACAGCACTTCGTGCAATGTTATGGTCCAGTTTGGTAACGGGTGACTAGTTTGGTTGAGAAGGAGGGAGTGACATATCGTTTATCTCCGCTTAAGTAGTAATTCAGCAACATATTGACACACTTTGGACCCATTAAGGGAGTAAAACCGCGACTTCGGCGGCACGAGCGATCGCCTCAACCACAGAGCTACCTTAATCGGACGCACAAGCCATAGGTTGAAGCTTGGTCACAATGATGTCGAATACGGGTTTTACCAATCAATACGACTAACTCTATATGACCCTCAGGATGATATCTCGAATCCGCGGGTTGGATGATCCGGAGCAGGGTTACAATGATGCAGACAATGGGTAGCACCACGTAGTACAACAAACTATGTATGCCCCTGGTGAATGTAAGCAATGTATCTGATCATATCTCGGTGATGAGCGATCCAAACGCTATAGATGTGTTGCAGTTGTTCAAGGACAAATGGTTTGACGTTTGAAATGCTTTAGAACGTCTATTGATCCTTGGAAATTCTTACAAATTATCTTAGTTCCACTTAAAAACTGGGTTGTACTTTAACTGAACGAATTCCCCAAGGTCCTAAAACCCCACATGACCAATTTAATCTCAATCTGAAACTCGCAGTGATTTCCTGCTAAAAGAGCAGTGTAGGAAATGAACTGAACTACCACAAAGGACACTGAAGCTGGTTCTTTTAACTGTCACGTAATTTTCTCTACCCAATTTTTAGAACGTGTATGCGCACACAGCCATGCTTTGATGATCGACAAACGAGGGATAATGGCATGTTTTATGGGAAGAAAGATTATAAAACAGACATTACTCAGTAATAGATTTAATAGGAGAGCACTTTACTTCTGGTTTGTATGTCGTGTGGACCAATAATATTGATTATTCAGAAGGAGAATGCAGGTTTCAGAACAAATACACGACAAGGATGGGGCATTTTACAGACAACTGCAGTATAGAATTCTCCGCCCCGCGAAAATAACAACGCACATTGTCATCATTAAGCGCCAGTAGAGTCAGTTTAATCCATCGTCTCCTTTCTACGACCATCGTGCGATAATAAATCGGAAGCCCAACGGAAATATATATCTTTCAGTGTAGTATCGGTTACTGTTTGAGGCAATTATATTTCCGTGATGTTGGCTTCCTTCTATGATGGCACCGATCCCGTTATCTTCCCGATGACCACGATGACCGTTGCCCTATACCACTGTCTCCTCACTCCTCTGTAACGTACCATGTGTCAGAGGGTGGTGGCAGCTGATGCTTCAGCTTGTCATAAATACAGAGTAGAGACGTATATAAGTTAATATATATATGGCGTCTTGTGCCGATCACATCACACATTTGGACGACCTGTCGACCTCGTTCATATACTCATGGAAACGAATAAGGGAACACCTGAGAGTACAAGTGTTCCTTTATTATTTTCCAGGTTTCTCTACAAGGTATGTATTGCTCTGTGAGTGAAATTCTGGAACACTTGTAGTTTCAGGTGTCCCCTTATTCGTTTCTATGAGTATATCACGAGTATAACAACCATTATGACTGCTTGTTGTCAGGATTGTCTGTTATGTCATCGTATCACAGCTGAACAATGCTCAAGCTGTTGATCACTGGATTGTCTGGACCAGACACGATCTGTAGTTTACTTGAAACATGTTTCTACTGGGGAGTCTAGCGTGAAGCCAAGTGTAATCAAATCAAATATAGCCTATATGTTCTAAATGTTCCTCCATGAAGGAGTAAATATGGCTTAATCATATGGCGTCTGAGTGAAACAGTGAGATCAAGACTTAGATACATGTATACTTAGCGTCGCTAGTAACGTGTATACACATGTGTATCCATGCTTTGTAGGACAAGGCTGAAGGCCAGTACTCTGGTGTTAGTCTATACACCTGTGTATCGCCATTTGGTAGAATTAACTGACTGGCTGAGTTTAGTTGTACGACGCTTTTAGCAATATTCCAGCAATATCACGGCGGGGGGACACCAGAAATGGGCTTCACACATTGTGCCCGTGTGGGGAATCGAACCCGGGTCTTCGGTGTGACGAGCCATCGCTTTAACCACTACGCTACCCCACCGCCCCTGGTAGAATTAAGGTCAAAGACTAACACTGTGTTACTTGTTAAGTGTACACACCTGTCTATCTATGTTTTTGTAGGACGAGCTTTCCGATGCTAGTTAACAGAATAGATCTGTGTATGTATTTGTGGTAGAACCAATCTAAAGTCGAGCATTGTGATGCTAGTTAGGTGATACACATGTATGTCTATGTTTGGTAGGATCAATCTAAAGTCGAGCCTTGTGATGCTAGTTCGGTGATACAAATGTATGTCTATGTTTGGTAGGACCAATCTAAAGTCAAGCATTGTGATGCTAGTTCGGTGATACACATGTATGTCTATGTTTGGTAGGACCAATCTAAAGTCGAGCTTTGTGATGCTAGTTCGGTGATACACATGTATGTCTATGTTTGGTAGGACCAATCTAAAGTCGAGCATTGTGATGCTAGTTAGGTGATACACATGTATGTCTATGTTTGGTAAGACCAATCTAAAGTCAAGCATTGTGATGCTAGTTAGGTGATATACATGTATGTCTATGTTTGGTAAGACCAATCTTACGTCAAGCATTGTGATGCTAGTTCGGTGATACACATGTATGTCTATGTTTGGTAGGACCAATCTAAAGTCAAGCATTGTGATGCTAGTTAGGTGATACACATGTATGTCTATGTTTGGTAGGACCAATCTGAAGTCAAGCATTGTGATGCTAGTTCGGTGATACACATGTATGTCTATGTTTGGTAGGACCAATCTGAAGTCAAGCATTGTGATGCTAGTTCGGTGATACACATGTATGTCTATGTTTGGTAGGACCAATCTGAAGTCAAGCATTGTGATGCTAGTTCGGTGATACACATGTATGTCTATGTTTGGTAGGACCAATCTGAAGTCAAGCATTGTGATGCTAGTTCGGTGATACACATGTATGTCTATGTTTGGTAGGACCAATCTAAAGTCAAGCATTGTGATGCTAGTTCGGTGATACACATGTATGTCTATGTTTGGTAGGACCAATCTAAAGTCGAGCATTGTGATGCTAGTTCGGTGATACACATGTATGTCTATGTTTGGTAGGACCAATCTAAAGTCAAGCATTGTGATGCTAGTTAGGTGATACACATGTATGTCTATGTTTGGTGTTTGGTGAGGCCAATCTAAAGTCGAGCATTGTGATGCTAGTTAGATGATACACATGTATGTCTATGTTTGGTAAGACCAATCTTACGTCAAGCATTGTGATGCTAGTTCGGTGATACACATGTATGTCTATGTTTGGTAGGCCAATCTAAAGTCGAGCATTGTGATGCTAGTTAGGTGATACACATGTATGTCTATGTTTGGTAGGCCAATCTAAAGTCGAGCATTGTGATGCTAGTTAGGTGATACACATGTATGTCTATGTTTGGTAGGACCAAGGCTATAGATGAACCCAGTGTATTGCAACTTCTGCCAGAGAGACTGCGGACAGAGATCGCCATCCATGTTCATCTGGAGACACTGAAGAAGGTAAGACAAAATGACCGAATGACCACTCTATGACTATAAGTGAGTGGGTTATTCATTATCGCGGCTTCTTGGTTCAATTTGACAGAGGAAATTCTGAAAAGACACGAGTGTTAGACAATTTGGTGTAACCTGTAACCTCTGTCAGTTCACACAAAATCTGGATTCAGATTTACGCATTAACCATTATGAAGATCCTGCAAATCTGATGTTCATTCATGAGATACGAAGGGCTCTGGAAAGCCTACGGAACGGATCCAGATTACTGCGAGGCCTTAGATCAGTGGTCCACTCATCGTCTACGTATACCGTCTATCGAAGTATCGAAGACATTCCCGATGCACAAGATCCCATTGCATCGGTTGTTATTCCTGCAGCAATCATAAAGTCATTGGGTCTTTATACTTTAAAGGAAGATGAAATTATCTGGACAATAACAGTGTTAAGTGTGATATTTTCGTACAATTTTATAAAAGATGAAGAATTGTTGTCCAGGTCAAGATTTTCGAGGAGTGTGAAGAGGGGTTGCTGAGGGAGTTGGTGCTGAAACTGAGGCCCCAGATCTACTCCCCCAGGAGACTACATTTGCCGCATTGGAGAGATAGGTACGTAGAGAGTCTCACCCGAGTGTCTTTTGATATCAAATATTTCACCACGAGTTGATAAAGTAACAGATTTTTTACTTTTATCAACGAGTGTTGATATATTTGATATCAGAAGACACGAGGGTGAGATTCTATTTATCATAAAAAATCACACTTCATTAGTTTTCAGTGAAAAGTGTACATCTCTGAACACAGTACTGCCATTAGATTTGCAGTGCAGCGATGTCATAGCATTGTGACGTCATCAAGTTCATCAGAACATTGTACAAAATCTACTGTCAAAACGATATCTCCTAGGAGATATCGTCTGATCTCACACAAGCGATATCTCCTGTGGAACACAATTTTGGATGATAAACAGTCTTACACTGACACAAACTCGTACTTTTTGGGCTCCTGGCTCTGGTATGTAAGGTTTGGACGTTAAGGGATCAGTACACATTCACACACACAAAGTCGTCATTTTAGGGCTTGCTTAGCGTGTAAGGGATATGGCCTTCAGATAGGTACACAATCGTACACGAAGAATCGTCCTTTTGAGGTTGCTAAAGTGTATGGTTAGAGGTGGTTTTCAGGTAGACATGTAAATGTTCTAGAACAATGAGAGAGAAACTCAACATCACCATACAAGTCTTAAATATTAAGTATTGATCACCCGAGTGCTATTGATCTGGGAAGCACCTTGAGACAGACGCACAAGACGCCATTCATGAATACGTATTCGTAATACAATGCAAGTCAACCGCAAACACAATACCTAACTGCCTTTACCATAAACATCGCATGTGTAAGATTCAAATTAAACTTACAACAGTCCCACGAGAAAAGGGACTTACACTGTTAAATGTCTGCGCCTAGGAATAAATAAATCATGTACAGGGACGGTGCTACGTCTGTATGTATATATGTAAACTAAAAGCAGGAAAGGAAGACATTCATCTTCTTTCTTTTCAGGTCGGGAAATGTACATTCTGAACCATGGAAGAGTGGAGGTACGTATGAATGAATGAATGAATAAATAAATGACAATGTGGACCCAAATTTGAACGACACAATCGATTATGTTCAATGAGAACATATTTGCAATAACCCTATGTAATTATTAGAAAATGTAGATTAAAAGCTGTTAGGCCATATAACCTTTTGTGTTCTGTCGGTGGGGTAGATGTATGGCCTGACGGACTGACTGTCTATCATAGATTCTGGTCCCAAGCGCTGTGTGGCCGGTCAGAGGACGCAGGTAGCCGTCCTCACCCCAGGAAACTACTTCCGGGGAGATAAGCCTACTCAAGTTGGACGACGGGCAGAACAGGTGAGAGATGATGTTTTAGGGTGGGATCACACTTTCTTAATAAAGTAAACATTCTAATGCTCACACACTCCGAGAGAGAGAGCTGGTACACAAAGTCAGCGACTTCCATCCATTTTTGCTTATACTACACGGAAGTACTTCAACATGACACCTCCAGCCTATAGGCAATCTACATTCCACTTTCAGTCTGTACGTCATCAATGTCCTACAATATTCCACTTCCAGCCTACTATACAATACACCAATGTCCACAATATTCCACTTCAACAGTCCACTTCCAGCCTACACTACACCAACATCCTTCAACAGTCCACTTCCAGCCTACACTACACCAATGCCCTTCAACAGTCCACTTCCAGCCTACACTACACCAACATCCTTCAACAGTCCACTTCCAGCCTACACTACTAACATCCTTCAACAGTCCATCCTCCTTCAACAGTCCACTTCCAGCCTACACTACACCATTCTCCTTCAACATTCCACTTCCAGCCTACACTACACTACACATGCCCTTCAACAGTCCACTTCCAGCCTACACTACACTAACATCCTTCAACAGTCCACTTCCAGCCTACACTACACCTTCATTCTCCCTTCAACAGTCCACTTCCAGCCCACTTACACTACACTAATGCCCTTCAACAGTCCACTTCCAGCCGACACTACACTTCAACAGTCCATGCCCTTCAACAGTCCACTTCCAGCCTACACTACACTAATGTCCTTCAACAGTCCACTTCAGCCAGCCGACACTACACCAACATCCTTCAACAGTCCACTTCCAGCCTACACTACACTACACAATGCCCTTCAACAGTCCACTTCCAGCCTACACTACACCAACATCCTTCAACAGTCCACTTCCAGCCTACACTGCATATCTCAACCAGACACTATGTCAATGCCTTCTGCAATCATTAGTTCCTCTAAACAGCTCAAACAGTTATATTCCCTCCTTGCGTGCATACAAACTGTGTTAAATCAACAGTTTAAACTGCAATAAACCATTCTAGACGTAATCCTAAGGTTTTATGCGCTGTAAAACCAGGAACAAGCAACGACATGTCTGTATTTATCACTCACGTTAGGGCATTGGTAACAAACCAAATGTATCCGCAATGAATTTATAAATGCTATAAACCTCCTTAACCAAGACATGTACCTTCGTGTAATCCGTTTAAAGAGCCATATGTTTATGTTCTGGAATAAAACATCCTCTAAAATATTCCATGTTTTCTAGATCGTGTTTGAAATGTATGTTATTTATGTATCAGACGTACAGCGGACGTGAGGGCTATCGGTTACTCGGAGCTACTGTGCTTGTCTCGTAGGGATCTCCTTTCGGTGAGTCACAAACTGGGCATGCGAAACAAACGAAAATGGAATATTTTACAGTAGTAACACTGGTGGGATTGTTCTCATGTTTCGTTGAGTTCAACCTTGACATTGATTAAGAAACTAAGATGGTCCTCTTGATTTGATATTTACTGTCTCGACGTTTTATGGAGGTATGGTGCTGCCGCTTTAAGTCTAGGTCTAATACTCGCTTGGAAGAAGGACTGTTTGAAGTGTTGAAGGTCACATGTCCATTGTGGAAATTTAGTAAAGTGGTGAATCATGGAATAAGAATGATCAAGAGCTCCCCGTCTTCTAAAAATGCGATTTGGTTCCCCAGAATTAACTTACGATATTTAATCTGTTATCTGCTCGTTTTTATTCCTAGATAAGTACTGTTATATCACTATCAATAAATATGGGTTATTATGACTTTCAAAGAACGCTGAAGGGAAGTTGGTCAGCCAAGTGAATAACGACTCGTGACGCCTGAGAGTGAATTTTGATGAAATACATGAAACCATTTTTGTTAAAACTATGATACATCATTGACTCCAATTTTCCATGTACAGTACATGAATTAATTAACATAAGCAGGAGTTCATATATAGAAATGTCTGACACGGGAGCAGAGGCGTCAGAGGCGCCACACAAGTCTCTATGGACACGGCTGAGACCTACGGTCGTTGATTTGAATATTTCATGTAAACTATGATTGTCACTGAAGCTGGATCATGTTTCTAGGAAATTGTTACTATATCGTCGCTATCACTGATTGATATTTGATCGCAAAATCTATAACCAACAACAGACAGTCTAACTCTGGGAGACAGCTGGCTTGGTTCGTTGACAGCGTAATTAACGCATGTGTCTAGCACCTATCTCGGCCAGTCGGACTTGTAAGCACAGTTCCTGTTCGTTTTCCTTGACCTAAAACCACTGTGACCTGTTTCTTCAGATAAGACGCGTGTTCGAACTTGTGTTCAGCAAACCATGTTTGCATGTTTGTAGAGATGATCACTGGAATCTGGTGGTCAAACTCACAGACTTTGTTGATACAAAGTCTTTATACCCTAATTGGCTAGAGGAGTGATGCTCATTATGTCAACCACGGGGGTGGTGGGGTGGGGGTGGGGGTGGGGTGTCTGAACCAGTCCAAATTATTTACAGCCCGCCGTTATATGCCTGGAAAGTGTTTGAGTACGGCGTTAAACAATGAAATCAGATGACTTACACTGTTAAATGTCTGCGCCTAGGAATAAATAAATCATGTACAGGGACGGTGCTACGTCTGTATGTATATATGTAAACTAAAAGCAGGAAAGGAAGACATTCATCTTCTTTCTTTTCAGGTCGGGAAATGTACATTCTGAACCATGGAAGAGTGGAGGTACGTATGAATGAATGAATGAATAAATAAATGACAATGTGGACCCAAATTTGAACGACACAATCGATTATGTTCAATGAGAACATATTTGCAATAACCCTATGTAATTATTAGAAAATGTAGATTAAAAGCTGTTAGGCCATATAACCTTTTGTGTTCTGTCGGTGGGGGTAGATGTATGGCCTGACGGACTGACTGTCTATCATAGATTCTGGTCCCAAGCGCTGTGGCCGGTCAGAGGACGCAGGTAGCCGTCCTCACCCCAGGGAACTACTTCGGGGAGATAAGCCTACTCAAGTTGGACGACGGGCAGAACAGGTGAGAGATGTGTTAGGGTGGGATCACACTTTCTTAATAAAGTAAACATTCTAATGCTCACACACTCCGATAGAGAGAGAGAGCTGGTACACAAAGTCAGCGACTTCCATCCATTTCTGCTTATACTACACAGAAGTACTTCAACATGACACCTCCAGCCTACTCTACGCAATCTACATTCCACTTTCAGCCTGTACGTCATCAATGTCCTACAATATTCCACTTCCAGCCTACTATACACTACACCAATGCCCTTCAACAGTCCACTTCCAGCCTACGCTACACCATTCTCCTTCAACAGTCCACTTCCAGCCTACACTACACCAATGCCCTTCAACATTCCACTTCCAGCCTACACTACACCATTCTCCTTCAACAGTCCACTTCCAGCCTACACTACACCATTCTCCTTCAACAGTCCACTTCCAGCCTACACTACACCATTCTCCTTCAACATTCCACTTCCAGCCTACACTACACCAATGCCCTTTAACATTCCACTTCCAGCCTACACTACACCATTCTCCTTCAACAGTCCACTTCCAGCCTACACTACACCATTTTCTCCTTCAACAGTCCACTTCCAGCCTACACTACACCAATGCCCTTCAACAGTCCACTTCCAGCCGACACTACACCAATGCCCTTCAACAGTCCACTTCCAGTCTACACTACACTTATGTCCTTCAACAGTCCACTTCCAGCCTACTATACACTACACCAATGTCCTTCAACAGTCCACTTCCAGCCTACTATACACTACACCAATGCCCTTCAACAGTCCACTTCCACCCTACACTACACCAATGCACTTCAACAGTCCACTTCCAGCCTACACTGCATATCTCAACCAGACACTATGTCAATGCCTTCTGCAATCATTAGTTCCCTCTAAACAGCTCAAACAGTTATATTCCCTCCTTGCGTGCATACAAACTGTGTTAAATCAACAGTTTAAACTGCAATAAACCATTCTAGACGTAATCTAAGGTTTTATACGCTGTAAAACCAGGAACAAGCAACGACATGTCTGTATTTATCACTCACGTTAGGGCATTGGTAACAAACCAAATGTATCCGCAATGAATTTATAAATGCTATAAACCTCCTTAACAAGACATGTACCTTCGTGTAATCCGTTTAAAGAGCCATATGTTATGTTCTGGAATAAAACATCCCTCTAAAATATTCCATGTTTTCTAGATCGTGTTTGAAATGTGTATGTTATTTATGTATCAGACGTACAGCGGACGTGAGGGCTATCGGTTACTCGGAGCTACTGTGCTTGTCTCGTAGGGATCTCCTTTCGGTGAGTCACAAACTGGGCATGCGAAACAAACGAAAATGGAATATTTTACAGTAGTAACACTGGTGGGATTGTTCTCATGTTTCGTTGAGTTCAACCTTGACATTGATTAAGAAACTAAGATGGTCCTCTTGATTTGATATTTACTGTCTCGACGTTTTATGGAGGTATGGTGCTGCCGCTTTAAGTCTAGGTCTAATACTCGCTTGGAAGAAGGACTGTTTGAAGTGTTGAAGGTCACATGTCCATTGTGGAAATTTAGTAAAGTGGTGAATCATGGAATAAGAATGATCAAGAGCTCCCCGTCTTCTAAAAATGCGATTTGGTTCCCCAGAATTAACTTACGATATTTAATCTGTTATCTGCTCGTTTTTATTCCTAGATAAGTACTGTTATATCACTATCAATAAATATGGGTTATTATGACTTTCAAAGAACGCTGAAGGGAAGTTGGTCAGCCAAGTGAATAACGACTCGTGACGCCTGAGAGTGAATTTTGATGAAATACATGAAAACCATTTTTGTTAAAACTATGATACATCATTGACTCCAATTTTCCATGTACAGTACATGAATTAATTAACATAAGCAGGAGTTCATATATAGAAATGTCTGACACGGGAGCAGAGGCGTCAGAGGCGCCACAAGTCTCTATGGACACGGCTGAGACCTACGGTCGTTGATTTGAATATTTCATGTAAACTATGATTGTCACTGAGCTGGATCATGTTTCTAGGAAATTGTTACTATATCGTCGCTATCACTGATTGATATTTGATCGCAAAAATCTATAACCAACAACAGACAGTCTAACTCTGGGGAGACAGCTGGCTTGGTTCGTATTGACAGCGTAATTAACGCATGTGTCTAGCACCTATCTCGGCCAGTCGGACTTGTAAGCACAGTTCCTGTTCGTTTTCCTTGACCTAAAAACCACTGTGACCTGTTTCTTCAGATAAGACGCGTGTTCGAACTTGTGTTCAGCAAACCATGTTTGCATGTTTGTAAGAGATGATCACTGGAATCTGGTGGTCAAACTCACAGACTTTGTTGATACAAGTCTTTATACCCTAATTGGCTAGAGTGATGCTCATTATGTCAACCACGGGGTGGTGGGGGTGGGGGTGGGGGGGGGGGTGTCTGAACCAGTCCAAATTATTTACAGCCCGCCGTTATATGCCTGGAAAGTGTTTGAGTACGGCGTTAAACAATGAAATCAGATGACCTGGGGATATTTATGTATTTGTTTTCAGTATTTTTATTTAATTTCAAAGGTTGCAACTATTAAATGATCTCTGCAGTAATAATGAAATATACTTCCTAGCCAATTTATTATCATTTCGTTTGTTACGTGTGCATAATGTAGTGCTGTTATGATACGTATAGTGAGCGAGTTTAGTTTTACGTTGGTTTTAGCAATATTCCAGCAATAACACGACGGGCTTCACACATTGTTCCCATGTGGGGAATCGAACCCGGGTCTTCGGCGTGACGAGCGAACGCTTTAGCCACTTGGCTACCCCACCGCCCCTGATACGTATAGACTGTGACAGGAGGTATGCCAGCGGCTGTGTCCTCGTACGTGCGCAGACGTTCATAGGGATGTCAAGGTTTCACTTTGTAGTTGAAAGTATTTCTTTATATGTACCTATCGACAAAGTAAAAGCATTTAACTGACTCCGACTTCAGTCAAATGAGTAGTAGCATCACTAGCCTGTATAACTACGCAGCTGCGTATGACCAGAAAGAGACTGGTATGACGCCATACGGTAAGACATGGTATTTATACCCCGTGGGTACTGACCCTAGCAGCATATGCTGGTCGTTAGGAGCGAGCGAGTTTAGTTTTACGCCCCCTTTTTAGCAATATTCCAGCAATATCACAGCGGGGAGACACCAGAAATGGGATTCACACATTGTGCCCATGTAGGGAATCGAACCTGGGTCTTCGGCGTGACGAGCGAACGCTTTAACCACTAGGCTACCCCACCGCCCCTCGTAAGGAGCGATCAAATGGATCGGGTGGTCAGGTTATTGTGACTATTTCATGTGTACCCCGACCGAGTGGAGCTTTGTTTATACAATGAGTCACTGGAATGTATGGTCCAGACACGATTATTTAAAGGGGTCGTCATGTAGCTGGAATATTGCTCAGTGCTGCCTTGACCAACAAATGAATGATCAAACATTACTTATAAGCATGGTGATTGTTCTAGGCCCTTGTGGAATACCCTAATGCAAAGGAAATACTGGAAGCCCAAGCGAAGGAACGGTAAGTACCTTTCTTCTGACCAGACAGGTCTCTCAGTGCCACTTGTCAAGAGGAACTATTGCTTCCAATTAGATCAGATGTTTCTAAGTGTTACCCATGTTAAGAACCATAGTTGTAGTACTGGGCCTAGATTTTCGAAGCTCTCTTAGCGCTAAGATAGTCCTAAGTGCCATACATTAGCATTAACTTACGTCTATCTTAGCGCTAAGAGAGCTTCGAAAATCTAGCAAGAAATATACTATATACTATGAATCAGTGATCGATAGTTTTGTATATATTAAATATGCGGTGTTGGTACCTTGTGTTAGTTTACGCACACGGTAAGTTTCCGATTCATAAAGAAAAACATACACGAAAAACTGTCAAAATGGTACCATTCAGTAAATTTGTGTTAAATGTTAAAGACTGCAGAGTCACATTTTGAGCGTTATATACTTGAAGGGGATCTATTGGAATTAAATTTGTGTTAAACATAGAAAATATCCATCCATTATTTAAAGTCGTAGAGTCACAGTTTGAGCGTTATATATCGGGATTTATGTGTGGATCTATTGTACGGACTGAATGGTCACATGTTATTTTCAGGATGATGCAGACCAAGGGAGTGCAGAAGTCGGACGCCGGCACCCGCCGGGCAAACACCGCCCCCAAGAGGCGGGCACGTGACATATTTGCTGACGTCATGAGACAAGAAGGTTTTGCTAAGCTCATATCTGCGCGAGGTATGTAATCATTGTTTCAAGTAATGTGCGATACCTGGCTTTGAGCCAACAGATTATTAAGATGAAGGAATTGGAGTTTGTATTAAAATGCAGCTGCAGTTCGTGTCATGGGACAGTGGAGTAGCCTAGTGGATAAAGCATTTGCTCGTCACGGCGAAGGCGCGGGTTCGATTCTTCACATGGGTACAAAGTGTGAAGCCCATTTCTGGTGTCCCCCGCCGTGATAGTGTGGCATAAAGCCTTATTCACTCGCTCACTCATGGTGCCACGTAGTTTGTTAGTTACCAGTGAAAAAGGATTTTATGAAAATGTATGATTTCGGTTTACCTCAATGAAACAATGTTGGAGTAGGGGGATTATCGGTTTATCACAAGGAAGATCAGGGTTCGATCATTCACAGGAGTAGTGTGTTAGACCAACTTCGTGTATCCTTGCTGACCAGCGCACACCATCACTCATCTCGAGGTGTTTTATAAGTAAATAGAACCTTTGGTTTCCCAGATGAATCAATATTCCAGACAACCCGTATTTCGAGATACAATTTTGTATGTATGTGTAAGAAAAGATTAGGACCGCTGGTGCCACTCTCGCCCACCAGGGCATTGTGAATGAGTGAATGTGGCTTTCAGACCACAGTCCACAATCAGTATTACAATGTATTAAATGTAGTGGAAAGTATCTATCAAGTCCTGTGAAGAATTGACGTTGTAGTCCGGTTTATCGTAATTCCACATTTTTTTCCAAATTTAAAACGAAAAAGGAAAATCGATTGGTTTGTGAAGAACACGACACCAAAGACACGCGACTATTCCCTACACGGGGCTTCAATACATTATAGTTAAAGCCTGACCTTCCTGGGTTGTTAACTGTACGTTTGGTCTGGTCTCGTGTGTGTCAGTCCTGCGTTTTAGTATACACTAGTCAATTTCATTTCGGTGGTATTTGCGACAGTATGCGACATCTGGCGGTCCAGTGCACTAACCATCTGGCGCCGTCAAACGTTAAATCGATCCAAACCAGTGTTACCTTACATCGATACACGCCGCCACACAACTCCATATGCACATTAAAGACCAGTTAAGCGACGATCGCGACCAGACATCGTTAAACTGAATCCGTACTTTGACACTGGGCACAGATTGCTAAGACATCTAAGGCGCCACTATATACTCTGCAGAGTTGCGCCCCTTGACAGTGCACGGATCCCTGCGCTCACGGATTCCATGAAAGTGGTAATCTGAGGACAGTAAGGGTGCGTTCTTTCTGATTAAGATGACATGCAGTGATGTACCCGAAATGTTAAACCATGCTTACTCCTCACTAAACTATTTCGTTTATCGGTAGGTAGGTTCATATTTATAACCCCTTGGTATTTGAAACAGTAACTTTCGCACCAGAGGAGTAAATCATACTTTAGAAGAATCATATTTATAATCATAAGGTACATTTACTGTTTTATAGATTGACTTTATGATGTTCTTAAGCTCGCCAGACGTTTTCGAATATTGAACAATGGATACTTAGGTTTCAGCAATTGGTTTTGAACCAAGGAGAGCCTGATGCCCTAGTCTTTTAAATTCCTGAAAGTAGGGTTCTCGAAGTATGTACATTGTGTGAGATGTGTATGTCCTACTGGTACACTTAAGTAAACTCTCGGCATGGCAAACTTAAGTAGACACTTGGCAAATGGATTTGACCAAACAATTAAACTGCTACTATGATGAAGCAGCTGTCGAAACACTGTAAACGTTAGGTTCAAAACGCACAACTGATTCTCCTATCACAGTCATCACCATCTAATATCCATTTCTAGTTTCCATCATCTTTGCCCATCATCAACCATGTCGAAACTTTCATCTGCGCAGCAGTTAATTACTAAACATTCAAAGGAGGTGAAACTACTCCTGTAAGTCCAGACTGACTCCGTGGTGTAGTGGTTAGAGCGTCCGCCCAGAGAGCGGAAGGTCGCGGGTTCGATCCCCGACAGCGTCATACTAAAAGGCGTTAAAATATGGTACTTGTTGGTCCCTGCCTGGCGCTCGGCATTAATGGGTACAATAAGGACTGGTCGGCTCGGATTCAGTATAATGTGTCTGAGTGGGGTATTTCTGCTTCACTGCGGCATGGTATCTCAGTGGGCTAGCACTATAAAACCAGCCTAAGTCTGGGCTAGTACAAGCAGCCGCACATACACATACACGCGCATGCACGTCGTCATATGAGCGAAATATTCTCAAGCACGACGTTAAACCCAATTTCACCTCACCTCACCTGTAAGTCCATATTGAGGTTGTCCTTCACAAAGGGGTGTGCAGGTAGTTACTATTGGTTACAGTGAGTGGGTTGGTGAGATTGTTTTACGCCGCTTGTAGAAAGATTTCAGCCATATAAAATTTTCGAACACAAAGATCCGGCATCACAAATATCATACAGACTAAATGTATATCCACTGGTTACCCAGACTTCACATTAAATATTACTGATAGTCCAGATGTTCCAAGTAGAATATCTTGCATAAGTCAGTTGGCATCAGGAGAAAACGGAAACTTGAACTTAGCTGTTACACTGCTGTCAGCCGATACAAAATATTATTAGTGTGCAATTACATGAAACGATATGGAAAGGTATGTGTTTCGCCTTACTGAAACTTCAAATATAGCTCTACATAACTAAAAGCAACATCCCCAAGAACTACAACTACAACTGCAATATATTGTATTCGTACACGATGGATTATATTATATATCATATAGTTTTCATTTTCTCCATCAATCTTCAGGTCAAGAAATGAGCGAGCTGCACAAGGTGATCGCCGATATGAAAACTGTTCTCTTACAGGTAAATATCTTCCCAACCTCATGATTCCTACTCCGCCAAACAACATATTACAAGATGATGTTCACCTCTCCGTGACACGTATGTTGTCTTCGGTTATGTTCAATAATACGGAACGTGCAGTTATCAGGAATATGAAAGTGGTGTCAAATGTCTTTTGAGAAATAATTCGATTCCAGAACAAAATAGAATAATGGTCGAAGGTTTATGCAAGAAGAATTAATAAATGAAAGTTCAGGACAGATACATGTATACGAGAGGCTTCGTTAATGTCGGATCTCATAGTACAAAGAACATTATCTATTAGCCTATGTGTTGTTTTTATATAAACTGTTAAAACCTGATATCAATTATTAAAAAAATTATGAGATTTGATGAGATCCGAGATATGCTTTATGTTTCAGGTTTCGCAGTGCAACACAAAACCGAAATGTCAGGTGAGCCTTTGTATGTATTTGATCTGGTGCGACTATAACTCTAACTGATATAGATTGACTGATGATAGAAATACCACAAGGCAATCGACGGCTATTGGCCTAATTTCTTTTGGCAGTGTCATTAACGTTCTATAATTAGTGCAGTAATTCACATTCCTAATCTTTGGCAGACATAAGTTGAAATAATCACGTGTATTAACATCGAGACGTTTTGTTGACTGCACACTGAACACATTGTCAAGTATTCCGAGTAAGCAATATTTTTAAGTCCGGATAGAATGAACGCCAAGGTATACCGCCAATAACGCTATGAATTAGTTTTGTGTTACGGGCGCTTTGAGCAGTGTGCCAGTTACATCGCAGGTTGTGGGTGGGGATCTGCCCGAAGTGTTACACATGTTTAGTCTTTACGACTTTGGTAAGACCCACTAGAACGCCTCCAATAACGTCATGATGCTGCGAGACAAACAGTAATTGGGTAATGTACTATAAATATATAGAAACAGTAGTGATCAACCAACACAAGCAGAATCCACACCATCGAGGCATTACGACAGACAACCTGCCATGTCTCACCGTGTTCATGGCAGTAGTATCCAATACCAGCTGTTGGTCTAACATCAGTATCTACATATGGCAAATTACATGATTGAGTGAACTCGGGGTTGTCAACACTTAGGGAACCGACAATACAATCTGACATCAGTAAATAGTCCACACTCTTATTCTGGTATATGTTAATGTAACATACACACAGGACTAAAGAACAAATAAATAATATTACATTCTGTCTGAACTGGTAGCAATGCGCATCTTAATATGTCTCATTACTCGTATCAAGGTTTTTAAGCTGCTCCTTTAGATAAGCATCACCCATTACACACATTAACTCATTTGAAACGCGCCGACATGAGATGATTGGTACGCCCGCGTAATCAAACTTGATTGACTTTGGTAACTACGACACTTTAGAATTTGTCAACATCTTGGGAACACACCGTCTCGTAGCCTAACATCACGATTATGACTGGGTGTACAGTTGCATATCGAGAGCTTAAGATTAGCAGTGGATATGGTATTGTTGTTATTTTCAGGGGTGTTTTTTATAATTTGTTGTTTGGTTTCTTTTTGCAGTGTGAGGAATATCAGAGGAGACTACGACAAAAAGATAAATGTCTAAGGAAGGCCACAAGACGTGTAACGGAACTAGAAACTGTCTTGCGGATCCGTCGCAGTTCTAGCCTACCAGTTTCAGTCCGGGATCACATCCCAAGACAAGACAGTACACAGAGCGATGACTCTTATGCAAGCCGGGGTCAAGACTTTGCGTGCCAGTGCGTGCACGACGTGCGCGAGTGCAATAACGGAGTTATGTCCCCCTTGATAGCTCGAGGGTCACAAGACATTGTCTACCTCGGCCGAAGGCCTTCAAGGGGAAATTCTTTCGGAGACGGATGCCACAGATGTCTCTCGCACCAAGACAGTGTGTCATCTAGTTCGTCTCAATCTCATTCAATGGACCTGCTTTCAACGGAAGCGCATCTCCACGAATACAAACACGACTCTGTTAAAAATGGAAACTTTCACACATGCGCACGGGAGAATAACTCAAACGGAAATGGTTCTCTTAGTCATCCAGCCAATCAGGAACCACTTCCGCCTCCATTAGATCAGTACTTCCTGGAGGAACTAGACGCCGTGTTTGGAGATTCCTCGTTGCTTTCCGTGTCTGAGTCAGGGCTGATCCTGAGCGACGTCAGCTCCAACAGTGACAACAGTTCCATCGACGACATCGACGACTTGTGATACACATCCCGATGTCCAATTTTCGTTCTCAAGTCATCCGTTGTACAATATGTACATAGAGAGGCACTGTCAGTGATACCTTGGATGTCGATGTGATCACGTTCTATTCAGAATCAGGCATTTATGTAATGGTTTTCGGACAGTTGTTCTGAACCTAGAACATTGAAAGTGTTTGCGAAGTAAATGTATGGATTATATGACCGTTTCATGACATTATACAAATTCCTACGCAATATGGTTCTATGGTTGGACATAATGAACGGCAGATATATTTCATTCACTGAGTGTCGCTGAACCAAAGCATATTCTGTGATATGTATAAGTTTGTGTTGTTGACAAGAGCATGTGCCACCTTCAGGCGGTGTATGTTGACGCACCACGCTTCTTACAGTTATGATATCCAGTCCTCGACCGACTTCAGTAATGCATTTTTGTTTGGTTTCACGTTGACTAGTCAGCAGATTCAAACAGACTCGAGCTTGATTCACTTTGTCTTTTCCGTTGATTCATATATACTGTCGCACTGACTAGTCCTTGACTTCATTCAAACTTCTCCGTTAATTCCTACAAACGGGCGTACGTACTAACTAGTCCTGGGCTTCATTCAGATTTGTCCGTTAATTCCTATAAACGGTCGTACGTACTGACTAGTCCTTGACTTCATTCAGACTTGTCTGTTGATTCGTGTACACAAACCGTTGAACAAACAATGGATTCATTATACTAGTCTGTGGATTCATAAAATCCATTGATTCAAATAATTGTCAACTGATTCACAAAAACTTGTAGAACTGAACTCATAAAGATACAGGTCAAATGGACAGCACCGGTCAAACGTCTGTCGTTTTCGAAACGCTGGAATCCAATTGTCAGACGATTTTTTTCTACTGCCTGTGTGTTACAGGAGATTCTTTTACCATATCAAACAGAGTAGGAAATGTGATATTTTTCTTTCAGCTTGAGTTTCCCAAGAAAAGAGCTTGGCGTGCTGGGGTAGGACATGTAACTTTCCTTTCGCATAAAACAGGATTATGGAAATGCTTATGTTTAAAACATGTGGGATGTTGGTCGCTGTTAAATGAAACTAGTCAAGCATAAATGCTAGAGCAGTGTGCTTGTTACATGGTACCAGGGTTGATTGACGCTCTGAGCCTTACAAGGAATGAGTTTGGGGAAAAGGGGAGACATTTTTGTGGAGAATGACGACACCATGGAGGTCTATCCACTGAACATTCGTCAGTTGAGAAAATTGTTTCTTTATGACAAATCAGAGAAATAAGCACAGATTAGTGACATGTGGGAAATGAATACACATGTACTTTTGAGTGTGCGCATTTCCTGTTGGGTGAGGCTCGGAACGTATCAGTCAACCATCGTATTACCAATGTTGGTGTAAAAAGGACAGGGGCTACATCAAACGGGTCCACAGGTGTTGATACAGACTGATCACTGCATTCCTGTATGTGTTTTATCATGGCATTTTCAACTTCTATACGCAATTACTCCAGAGTCGCTTGTTTGTTTTGTACACAATGTATTATACATTTGTATATGTTTGTTGATCTCAGAACATTCAATTACACGTTATGTTCTATTTTGAAGTATTGTTTTGTCTGTTTTATTTTATTTCTATGTAGGCTCGTTCGATTGGTATCTTATTGTAGTCTATTTCGAAACTCAGTCTAAAGACACACTTCACGCCCCTTGGAACAACATGCTGAAAGTCTTGGCCCGGATTTTATGAAACGGAACTCGTTGGCATTAACCATCGGTATACCTACGATGAACGTCATCTGAGAATAGGCAGTGAAAAACCAACAAGGCCTCACTGTGTCGTGTATGCCAGGTTTCTTGGAGGACTGAACCCCCTGTGAAGATACTAGAATTAGTTTTCAGCAACCTATGTCTCTCGTAAGAGGCCATTTACACGACCAAGTAGTCAGGATCACTGACGTCGTAGAATGACATTTCATCCCTTAAATGTATATGTCGATGATGAAAAAGAATGGTCCAAATTGTGTCTGTACAGACCGTGGTCATTTAGCTGTAATATTCACCAGTGTGCCGTTACACAACAAAGAAACAACAAAAGAAGGCCGACACGATGTAATTGCTATTGACCAGTGGTCGTATTTTCCTTGACAAACGTCCCTCGTCGCTTTCCTTCTGGCGACTAAAGGGATCGGGTGGTCAGGCTCGCGGACTTGGTTGAAACACAGGCAAATTTTGCGCAAATAGGGTTGCGCAACAAAGAGAAAATGACCAGTCTTCCCATATGCGAGCGAAGCGCGCAACAAAGAGAAAATGACCAGTCTTCCCAATGCGAGCGAAGCTTCGCTCGCATATGGGAAGACTGGTCATTTTCTCTTTGTTGCGCAACGTGCTTCCCTCGCTTCGGTTCGAAAAATATTTTTAATATCAAAATAAAATTTCGCCATCATCAAAGGTAGACACCTATTTCCTCACAGAGTTGTGCTCTCAGATTTCCAACTTCATATTTAATAATTACTCACGTGCAATATATTTAATTCAATATTGTAAGCGCCACTTGTGGCATGTCAAATCGTTCTTCGCCTCCATTACCCCTGCCAGTTTCCGGTTCAACGGAGAGAAGGAACGGGGGAGTTAAACGGGATCGGGTGGTCAGGCTCGCTGACTTGGTTGACACATGTCATCGGTTCCCCATTGCGCAGATCGATCCTCATGCTGTTGATCAATGGATTGTCTGCTCCAGACTCGATTATTTACAGACCGCCATCATATAGCTGGAATATTGTTGAGTATGGCATAAAACTAAACTCACTCACTCTAACAATAACGACGGCAGATAAGAAAAATGATCAACAGTTTAACGGTAAAATTATGCAATATGATATTTGTGTTATTCTTGTTCCTTCACTCCGCGCTACAATTTGCCTGTGGTTGACACATTCCATCGTATCCTAATTGCATAGATCGATGCTCAAGAAGTTGATCGCTGGATTGTCTGGTCCAGGCTCGATTATTTACAGACCACCGCCATATAGTTGTAATATTGCTGAGTGCGGTGTAAAACTACAAAAACTTCTGACACATAAATATGAAATGTCAACGCCACAGAAAATCGTCTCGGTTATCCGCCGAAAGAGATTCCATTGGGAGTAAAAGTCAAAGTAAAGGTGAACATTACATGAATGGGTCACCGGAAATGCGTGATGACACCAGGTGTTCGCGGAAAGGGTAAGCTTATCCTGCCCCAACGGAAGCACCTGCCATTCACACGTTTTGTTGCCTGACGTCAGACAGCAATACTCCGACCATGCGACGATGGCTCTAAAGGTCCCTGTGACGCACACGTTGCCTAAACGTCCGGTCGATTTTATTCAAACTCAGTTTCTTGGGTGAAACTTTACATTTGTGAACGACGGGGATGTATTTGCCCGGATACGCACGTTTCATTTTAATGGTCATAGTATTTCGCTGGTCATAGACTTGTATCACTATATACATGTGAGGTACATGTATACATGTATACCGGCCCGGCGTATTTTGCTCCGGGTTATATCAGTCCCCTCCTCGAGACCTCGGTAACCTTTGGTTGCAAAAACATCGCACGTGTACTGAACATACTCTACCATACACGTGTAGTTTCGTCAGCTTTAGATCTCCTTCAAATCACAACAGACACAGCACATCTAAATAAAAAGACCTAAGGACGTATCCAGTAGAAGTCGCGGCAGATGAACCATTGTATCAGCCAATCAGCGTCGAGGCTTCTTAATTCTCTGTACGAGTCAGCAAAGTATTGAAAACAGCATATACAGACTTCTCTATTACAAAACATTATGTGAATGAGTGAGTATGATAGCAATATTCCAGCAACATCGCGGTGGGGAACACCAGAAATGGGCTTCACATATTGTACCCGTGTGGGGAATCGACCCCGGGCCTTCGGCGAGACAAGCCAACGCTTTAACCACTAGGCTACCCCACTACTCCTGTATGTTATCAACCAAGTGACATATCAAATACTCAACATGCTGGAGACGACGCGGTGTTTTATCGCATTCCTACCTACCTACCTACCTACCTACCTAACTAACTAACGTGTTTATTAGCGCCTTGAGCTTGTCATCTACGCCGACAGGCCTGAACTACCAAAAGCAGATTTGTCCTTTATGTGGGTCTCGTCTTAGTTCCAGATTTCTGAGGTAAAGAGGTCCAAGACTAGTCGTTTTTTGAAAGTTGACATCCGATTGGTTCTAGAACCCTAATATCTTTTGTTCGAACTAGATGGTCAAGTTCTAAGCCGCTGTCGTTCTGTACGACAATAACCCACTCGTGCAATTTCAGACAGTCAATTTCAACCGGCCGCTCTTGTTATCTTCGACAATCCGCCAATCTGGTAGCAGACGACCACTTATGTTACGTAAGTCGTTGTTTTACAATCGGATACTTTAGTTATCTCGGAAAATCAGCCTCTCATTATCTTGACATTGAGGTGAGGTGGGGTGAGGTGAAATTGGGTTTTACGTCGTACGTGCTTGAGAATATTTCGCTCATATGACGACGTGCATGCGTGTGTATGTGTATGTGCGGCTGCTTGTACTTAGACTGCCCAGACTTAAGCTGGTTTTATAGTGCTAGCCCACTGAGATACCATGCCGCAGTGAAGCATGAATACCCCCACTCAGACACATTATACTGACTCAGAGCCGAACAGTCCTTGTTGTACCCATTAATGCCGAGCGCCAGACAGGGACCAACATGTACCATATTTTAACGTCTTTTGGTTTGACGCGGTCGGGGATCGAACCCGCGACCTTCCGCTCTCCGGGCGGACGCTCTAACCACTACACCACGGAGGCGGTCATCTTGACATTGACATTCGTGCAAATGTTGTGAAGTCTAAACAGTACCAATCATTTTCTACAGCAATAATGCTACAGTTGACATATATATTTATAAACACATTGTTTAGTTAAAAAGAAAACGATTTCGTGATTACTGCAGTGAACTCGAACATGAACGCGAGTCTAAGCTAAAACATCATCACTGGAAGGGTGAAGGCATAAGACAAGTTGAAGCATGATTCTACGTCGTTTGTGTTAGCAGCTGGAATATACCATTATTTCTCAAGGCTTACTGGAAAATACGACTTTAAAACTGGTTCCAGAGTTGCTTTGCGTAACAGGCATAACGCAGAGAGGAGCCCAGTTTACAATGAGATCAAAGTACATGTATGAATATGTATGTAATCGATCGTGCAACAACACACATAACACAATGAGAGTATTATGATAATGATGATAATGATGTGATTGGAATATATAATTAACTAATAATGACATAAATGCCGTCAATGATCGCACAAGATGTCTCCATATTATTGTCAATTTCCTGCAGTAGCGAGGCATTAGAAGTCGCAGTTTCAAAGCCAATACACAGATACATAACAGCTCACGCGTATTTGAACCAACACAGAACTGACGTTTTATTTTTTTGTGGTGATATACAATTAGAAGTTGTTGACAGTTATACGTATTTAGGTCTGCTTGTATCAGAACATCTAGATTATGGTCTCATGGCTAAAGCAGTAGCGAGTTCAGCTAGCAGGGCTTTAGGTTTACTTTTAACCAAGTACATGTATAAGCTTTTAGGCGGTATGTAATTTCAAACTTACTCTAAGTTATATCACTCTATGGTATGGTCTACTATTGATTATGGCTGGGCAATATGGGGTACTTATAGTTTCTCCTGTATTAATGCTGTTCATAACAGAGCTATGCGGTTTTTTCTGGGTCTGCGCAAGTTTGCTCCTAATAATGCTGTTATCGGAGATATGGGCTGGTACCCTACAATTGTAAATCAGTGGAGGAGTGTGTCGAGGTTTTTCAGACTTCTCAGCTTTTCGAGTTACATGTAAGACATTTAGATGGAGTCATGACTTAGCGTTAAGATATAAGCGGAATTGGAATTTTAGAGTGTGTAAGAAGTTGTCGGATTTATAACTGGATCATTTTAAGGATATCAACGTTGTGTACCGTATTCCCTTTGTAGATTCAAAAGTTACAGAGGTTGTTTTTAGCGACTTCGTTTATAAATGAAAACAGGACCTGTTACATGTTGGTCGTTTAACTGGTAGGGGGAGGTAATAAGTTACGCACGTACTGTACTTTTAAGTTGGATTTTGGCAGTGAAGTTTATGTTAATTGTAATATGTCGCGTTCTATGAGAAAAGCACTAGCTTTGTTCAGATGTGGGGTAGCTCCGCTTAGAATCGAAACTGGCCGTTACGTTGGTTGTGCTTTAACTGAAAGAATTTGCTTTTACTGTAAAGATTTTATTGAAGATGAGTGTCATGTTTTATTGCATTGTCCTTTGTATGCTGAGGAGCGATTGCAACTATCTAAATGTACAAGTCTTTCAGATGTTTTTTTTTAAATCTGGGGGATGTTGAAAAAGTTAGTTTTATTCTATCTTGTCCAGATGTATCGTTTTTATCCGCCAAAACCTGCCTTAATATTCTTAAAAAGCGCACTGCAAATTTGTATATATCTTCTTAATGTAAATTGTACTCTCTTTTTTTGTTGTATATGTAATATTCACATATTATACTTTG